AGAGAGAGAGAGAGAGAGAGAGAGCCGTGCGTGATTTTTCGGGTACGAGATTCGTAAGATCAGTACCCATCTATTCCTACCTTATATTCCTCGATCCTTAACACTCAACCCAACAGTATTTGCTATTACGGCATAAAGTGAATTTTTGTTGAGAGAGATTTTATTTTCTAATCATATACCATGTTATAAATGCCCTTGCATTATACTGTATACTGACTGAATACTAACATTTTGTGTAATGGTACTTCAGCAGACGTAATGTTGCGATCTGCTTTAAATTAGCGAATTTACCTTAGCCTATGAATACATCAATTATATTCGACGAGACATAATTGACACTAGCGAATTTAGTTAGTCAAATGACCCACTTGCTCGTTTTGTTGACGCCGTAAATTTCGATCCCCGCAATATGCCAACCCATCATTGAAGCGCCCTCATCCTCTATCGCTCGTAAACGTGACCCCATCTTTAGGGCTCCCACCCTCATAAGCTTGGAATAGTTCTACTTATTTTTGGCGTGACTGGTAATTTCGCCACTGTATTTTTTGATCTATATACACGTTGTTGTTGTTGTTGAAGTCCCTCATTCCGAAAGGTAAAGATATGCGATGAGGAATTGTGTAATGTCCCTAGTCGGACAGACTCCTTAAATCACTTGAAAATCCCGTAAACTAAGACACCTGTTATCTAAATGGAACACACAAACGTGACTACTAATATGATTAATATACATGTTTACGTATGCTCACATTATGCCGCTCCATTGCATTAGAGTTGCTACCTTTTTTAACTTGTAACAACGGTTTATTCGTTCGATATACCATGGAGAGAAATAGAGAGATGAGAGAATTCATTCCATAACTAAAATGTTCTTATTTCTCTACTTTTGAATACAAACGTAAGGCTATTCGGTGACAAAGAAACTATTTTTCTGGAGTTTCTTTCGGTGTATCAACGATCGCCCAGTTGGGAAAGGAAAGTCACTATCCGAAACTATCGACCATAGGAAACGGGAGAACCCCTTGATCAACAATGAACGCTCATTTGTTGTAAACAACGTGCCACCGGACGAGCATTTGATTAAACACAAAATTACTTATTTAACGCGCCTTACACGATCATAAATTACTATCATAAATAATGTTCGGGCGTTAATCTGACTTGGGGACAGTTTACACAGGGACGGGGTCCTTCATCTGTTATTTTATTGTTGCAGCTACTATTGGCGGTGAGGCTGCTACTGCTGCCACCAGAGGTCAGCCAAGCTCCTGTCCCTCATAGAACCGCCAAAATACGAACGAGATAGAGCAGAGAATATCTACAGCCTACGAAGTAGCGTTTGTTATATTAGAAGAAGCAATAGGAACCTATTGGTAATCGCAGCAAAATTCTTCGTAGCGCTGAGATGAACGCATGTAATTATTATTGTTGTTTGCGTCACAGCCCATGAATTAATATGTTTATTTGTATTGAACAGGTATATGGATACACTACAATGCTATCATATTTTGTACAGCTGCATCGATCGATCTGTAGGTCGATGCCACAGCTGTAGGCGGTAATGAGCAGGCAAAAAAATCCATACCAAACCAAGAGGGATAATCATTTTTATCTAAAGGAAATGCTGCAGACCTTAGTAGACGATTGTCCTATTTTCACCTAATTTACACGTTCCGGATTCACGAGGTACAGCTTCCTTGATGTTTAGCCATATCTCAAGTTTATGAACTAACGGCTAAGAATGACTTATTGCACTCTGATCCATTTCCAGATCCATCTAATTGTCCAGTTAACGTGATTAACTCTTCCGTGGAACATTTTATGATCGTAACTGGTAAAATCATCGAAATGGTCTCCACCACCAAAAACCGGAAAACATCTCCAATAGTAGAGATGTGTGAAGTTTTGTATCATTTCCAATAGATACATAGACCCTTTCCATCGGTCGTAACTGACTATATACCTTGTGGCCGTGTTTGATGCCGTTCAGCCGTAGTTCATCTATAACTTGCTCACTTTTTGTAAAAAAACAAAAGCTTAAATATGAAGGTGCGTGGGCACTGCGGGTTCGTGATGACCGGTTCGTGTGGTTGCGGACGCATCGTAACAGAAACAAGTTGAAATAACTGTTACACAGTGGAGGACATCAGAAGATATAGTTCTCTAGCCAAGAAAGAAGCGATTAGGAGGACCGGCTATAGAGAATAGAAAAGCAGCGCAGCTCCGAAGGCAGTGTCGGCGAAGAACATGACGCCATTGCGAAAAAGCATCCACAAATGCTGCTCCGAGGAGCGTGTAGTAAATTATTAAACACACAGCGCTCCTCTTTTAAAAACCTCATCAATTGATTGATTTCAGCTATAATTTTTTTGATGTTTAACAACTTCAAGTGGTAAATTTTATCTTCTATGTTGTACTGCGAAGGCAGTCCTTATAGTTAATGGCAGTTAAAGTCATCAGGGAAACACCCCACTCATTAAATCCGAATTCTATACAAGAGACATAAACGCCCTGTTATCGTTTATTTATATAGATATAAGAGTTCGCCACTCGACTGCTAGCATGGATCGCTCATTAAATTCATTTACGTTTCAATTTTTTCCGAGTGGGTTTGTGGACTCTTCCGGCGTCTTCGGGCCTCTGACACATTTTTTCGCTAGGATATCTTAAAAATTAGTTTCTCGAAACGGCACGCTGCGTTTTCACAACTTTATCTACTAAAATAATTATCCAATAGCAAATATCGAAAATCTATCGACAGCCAGGAGTCGTCGTATCTAATTGCTGAATTTGAATAGAAATTATTTTATATAGTCATAATTGTTAGCTATTCCTGTGTCTTGCTACCTGTTTCTATGTGTGAGTTCTAGATTGACCGTCCAGGGCATTTATCTCAAAGCTCGAAACAGGTCACGTTAAAGTTGCTTGTTAAAACATTGCGCCATATTAAATGATAAACATGCTTGTTAGCCTTCGTGTCTACCGGGTATGCGGCTGCATCGAATATGGATTCTTTTCTAATAGGTAGATTCTATAGGTAGATTCTGGTGGTGGCGATCATAATGGAAGTCTAACTGTAGCTATATCAGGTCGACTACCACTTTGCAAATATCACTTGATTTTTGATTTTGCCCTTGTCAAGAAGTAGGGCCTCGAATAAATAACAAGTAGAGGTTAGGTCGTTGGGAGCAGGACAAGTGAGTGATGCCTGCAGATAGTTTGTGAGGTCGTGATCGTGCCATATGATGGATCAAGCGATCCTATTTCAATTACTGTGATCGTAAAGTTCGCCTGATTTGTTTGTAGTACTGCACAGAGTATGACTGATTATTTTCAGAAATAAACCGAAATCTCATATTGACTATTTCTTAGAAGTTATCGAATGTACGAGACAGAAACAAACATTCCGGTAGGTTCCAGTCAGATTATCACTTGCTGATCCAACGTCATCCGTGCCGCGAACTGTAGGATTTTACAAGTCGCGATTTTCGTTTATACAATTGTTACCTGTTTGTATGTTTAGGCTCGCAGTGTTATCTACCAGTGCTTTCTCTAATGTTGCAGTAATAGGCACTGGCAAGCCGAACTCGAAGCTAAAGTTTTATTCGAATCTTTAGAGAAGACACAAATAGGACGCGAACCAGACTGTTTACGACTAGTCCAGTTTGGGTTTCATTAAATCATTTAACTACGTTTTAGGTTAAAGGAAAGTGTATAAGCTGACCGAAACCTCGATAATACAGAGTTGTTATAATGTTTTCATGGTAGAAAAAGGTTTTCTATTCACCATAGGTTTTGTCAGCGAATACTTTTTTCTCAGGTTAGTTATATTAGGTGGTCAGTGCTTAGAATGGAATTGTTGTGATAGTCGGAGTTAGCAAGTTGTTATTATTGTTAGCGTCGCTTTACTGGCAAATGGTGGTATCCTTACGGATACTGATTAGACGGAAATTTGTATTTTGTGATAGTTATTGTATGTGTTCACTCTCCGAGTGTAGCCGCGCGATGTTACGCTCCGTCGGGAGAGTGTTATCTCGGCCCCGCTAAATCGTCGCTATATCGTTATGTTCTTATCGTGTTTTCTTTTTTTTTTTTCTTATCTGTGTAATGATTTTTTGACGATGCGGCATGTCTCCCACTGGCTCCCGATAGACGAAAGGGGCCGAGCAGTTCGACTGGCGCATCGTCGTTAACGTCTACGTCGTCGTAGTTGTTAGAACAGCCAGTGTTATCCATTCTTATTTGTCCTGTTGTTACGATGCACTCATAATAAGTTGCAACAATTTGTTATTGTTGTTGTTATTGCAAATACTGTTGCTGATGTTGTCTGGTTAATGGTGGTTGGTGTGGCTGTTACTTGGGTGTGGTATTAATGCCAAACACAGAGGGAAGAAGAGGCGTGTCAAGAATCCGACCATTGGCCCAGCCAGAGGGCGCAGGGATCGGACGGTACACTCTGTCGATACTTTTCTCATCATTATCATCATCATCGTCATCGTGTAATATTATCTATGCCTTTTACTCGGGCTTTAAGTTGGAAAGGAATTTGAGATTCGTATTTGTTTGTTCCGGAATTTGTTGAGGCTTGCGATTGTGTTTTCGTTAACCCTTGGTAGAGGCAGGCTTTCATATTGTCCAACTATTGCTGTCTTTAGCAATTAGGCAACGCTTCTCGTCCTAACTCACATCGATGTTTGCAAACGATTCCAGCCACCTGCTTGACGGACGACGACTGTCATCATTTGCTTCAACGTAAGCCTTCACCTTGTGGGTGTCTACTATACCATAACTATGGTTATCCGTTGAATCCCGACCATCAGATGATCGAGATATGCTTTTCGACATTGTAGTTCTTCGTAGCTAATCAGTGATCTCGAATGTTCAACTTGTTAATTGACTTTACAGCGAGTGGAGCTCGTTGTTCCAGACATTGTTGTTCCTGTACATTGTTGTTGTTTAAGTACGCGTGCTCTGGTAACTGGTGTTCGTGTTCCTCTCAGACCGTCATTGGCATAGTGTTGATTGAGCTTTAACTCTTTTATTGGGTAACCTATCCAACAGCTATCGTCTCGATGTAATAGCGATACATTCCCATGAGACGAAGGACTCTGACCTGTCTGGCTAGGAAAGCTAAGTACGGGCATCTATTCTACGATAGCGGGTCCTTGTCGATCCCATTTGTTACCACCATATACGAAAACGCAGAGCGACACAGATGGAACAGTTCGCAAAGCTGTAGTCGCATTATTCCGATGTTCGTGTCACAGCGGACAGTTTGGTGGTCGTCTAGGCGACAGGGGCCCCCTCTTCCGTCAGGCGGTCGACCTTCACAGTACTTGCTTGTCTCTGACTAATCCAGCCCCTTAGTGAAGGCTTAAACAATGTTTCTTTTTGCAGGGCTATGTCGTTGCAGTGGAGCAGATGGAAGGCACAAGCGGCGGGATTTGAGCTGTTAGTGCTGGTTACGTTAAGCCTACTCTGTTATTTAGGCTATGAGCCCGCTACGCTGATTTTTGGCGCGAGTCGGCATAAAAGCACCCTTAGTAACCACGTGGCTTATGGTAACGCAAGGTTGACGTCACCAGGTTGGCAAGCCATTAAATCTGTGACGATATTTAAGCCTGAGAGCTCATCGCAACCTAACTCCGGACGCGTGCCGCTTCCTTCCACTGCTGACTATTAGTAATAGATTTCTTTCTTTGATAACTAGAGGAAACAGCGACCGCTCTAACGCTGAGGGAGTTGCTTTTTAGGAAGCTCTGCCATCTATGAAACCGTGTTAATTTACTTTTTCAAAAAAGCCAGTCAATTAGGGGCAGAATATCCGACATATGGAGATGTGAGAACAACCATCTTACTTTGCTATTCGAATCGGTTATAGCTTTAGCCAATTTCGTTGCTGATCCAGAATGAGGCCCACTTGAGGGATTGAAGTTACCTATGAAATTGAATAGCTATTGGCTTGTAAGCCGCCATTGCGCTAAGAACAATCGATATACACATCTTCGTATATTCGCATCTCGTTTGTATTGAGATCCTGCGGACCATTTGCACGATCCCATTGATTCTATTTGGCTCACTTTGCTGCTACTGAATGGATAGCAATCTTAGCATAAGATTAACCTGAGCTGCGCAATATAATAGAGTACTTCATTTGCTTTTTTTTTTTTGGCTCGGTACTATTTAATCGTAACTTAATCTCAAAGTCAATTTTCATTTCCTGCTTGCGATTGTGTTGTTCTGTATTTGCTGCTGCTGTTGCTTCTGCGTGTTGTTGTCAGTTATTTTGACACATATGGATTAAAACAGCTTGATCAGATGTTACTAATCATAGTAACGTTTGATCCGAGAAAGAAGTCGCTGAGCCAGAACTATACAAAGTGCATGTATGTAGGTACTTGTGGTACGTGACGTTTTTGGGAGACATTTAAGTTACTGACATTTATCTTAATAATTGACACACAGACATACATACACGCCCCTGTCCTGGCTGACTTCGTTCGTGGTTGACTTTGACATCTGTCGCTGTTGTTCGCTTGTATAAGTTATTTGTTGTTTCATGCTACTGCTGTTTAATCGTATAGTTCTTATATAGTAATTGGTAGTGGGTATGGCACATTAGATGGTCGTTGTTATTATGCCAGTGGTTGTTTTTACCGATAGTGTTTATGCTGGTTTTTTTTTGCTCGGTAACTTGTTGTGGATTGTGCCCGGTCGGAGATCGTTGCTGTTGACCTCTATTTGATGTCATTTGGCGATTCAGTTGGTACAGCCGGGCGAATTAGTTGGCATTAATGGCATATATAAATGTTCTTTTTTGTCGTTAGATGTTATCACACATGGACACAATTGGAATGGCGTATTTTTTTTCTTTTACAGAATTCGGCATTTGATGTACTTGTAGCAGAATCTTGTTGCCAATACGTAACTCTTCCTACGTTCATAGTGAATCAGATGAGTACGCAATAGGGACTTGTCATAAAGATGACAGTTACAATCATCTTCTTTCAGTCATTACATTGAAAATCGTATACTTTTCTTGTCTGTAGCATACTTCGGAAGAATACTGTATAATTGTCCTTTCGTTGATCTAATTTCTTAGAACATACAGATCTTCATGCAGTCTACAGACATCCGGATCGATTATTACCTAGTTTCGCTTTCCTGCTTATGCTTGTTTTTCGTTTTTCTACAAAAACACAGTACATAAAGCGTCCGTTCGTCGGTGTTATGTAAGTGTCATTTTTAAATACGCATACATCATTACAGAATAATAATAATGGTATGCCTGATGATGAGAAACAGGAACTAACTGACCATCTTAACTCGTATTAGTTGTATCTTGGGCGAAGGACAAGGATGATAGTATCTGCGAGTTTAGAACTTACGCCCTGCTATATTTTAAATAGTGGTGAGTATCACCACTATTGTTATTATCACAGTTACTGTTTCTACATGATCGCTAGTTAAATCCTTTTCCTTCTCTATGTGACACGTGTTTGACTTGCTCCATTCGGATGCTGGTTTGTTATATATTCGTTGATGATCGGAACGGGCTTGAACGACACGCTGTTATATCTTCTGTGCTATGTATCCTTGTATACAATGGAACACAAACGCATCCGAAGCTAAAGCCGCATAGCCCGTCGACCTATCCTTCTCCTTCCCGCGTTCACTTCGTTCAGAATCGTCCCCCTGAACCTACCTCCCGATGCTGCTGCTGCTACGCGTATATTTGTCTATTAAAGTTGGCAATTTTAACGTAGAGCAAGTTTTCGTCATTATTATACATAGTGCTGGCCATAGTTCATGTCACCAATCGTATGGTATGCCGATGTTTGCCAATGTAAAGGTATTTATACATAGACAATCGAATACTGTTATCTTGAGTATCTGAAAAGTTCGTGTCGTTGAGCAAGTCAACGTTAGCCGCTAGTCAAATTGTAGTGTTTCGTTTGTGAGGCGGCAGTTGATAACTATTCAAGAGCGGTTACTCAATAGTCGAATAAGAAGTAGCTAGTAGTAGTCAGGAGGTAAAGCATTTATATAGCTAATTATCGTTGATAACAGAATACAGCGCACCTGTATTTGGCGTGAACGAGCCACTTAAGGCGGCACTATTTTTTACAGGCCCGTTAACAGTTCTTAGCGTCTTCGATATGCTATTGCGTAATTGGCATACGCCATTCGTCGTCGCTATTGTCGCACTAGTTTTCATTATTAAGGACGGTAAAATATCTACATTGCAATGATGTGATGGTAGATAGCGGTTTTACTGTATAATAAATTGCCTCGCTTGCGCCAGCCACTTAGACTGGTAGAACAATCCAGTATCGTCTGCTATACGTTATTGAATGTAGGTACGCGCTGTAAGAGGAGGACAGAGCACTGATTTTGCAATGCTTGTGGGTAGACGATATTTGCCATGGGGATTTGTTCGCTCTCGTAAGTTGTCTGCCTGTTATGTGCTCAATCTTCAATATAACAAGCAGTTATTCTTGATTAATTCTGCTCGCTAAATTAACGGATTGGTTATTATATACAGATGTGTGTATACACGACTGGATGTGCGGCGGATGTGGGTGAAGAAGTGCGCGGTCGCTAACCATTTGTTACAGCTATGTCAGTCAGCTCTACGATGTAGTATAGTTTTCGGGGAATAATTAGAAGGAGAACAGTTAAATCTAGCGGGACGGCGTCAGCTAAGATGGCGGGCTCACGCACGCTTCTCGACGCGACCGCACCCTATTACCAGTGGCTTTGCTGAATACTATATTGTAAAGAGATTTTCGCTGTTCGGTGGTCGAGTATTCGTTAAACCATTCTATATCATATCGTATAGCTGATATTCGTTAAACATTTACCCGGGAATTGACCTGGTGATTATGAGGGTAACTTGCGGACAGCTTCGTCATCTAGCGAGCTAATCAATCAGGCCGCTTCTTTATTATGCTTCCTTTCAAAATGCACGTAGCTTTAGAGTAACAAGCGGAAAGTATCATAGCTGATACAATGAAAGCAACGTCTATCCATTGCAGACTAAACCCACTCAGGCTGGAGGACATCCGTTAATTGTGGCGGACATCGATGAAAGGCCTGTTCCCGCGGATACACCGACAAATAACTCATGTCAGCGCCAGTCGACCGATTAATCGCCAACATCTTTCTGCATGTAATCTACTCATTTGTTCAGCCCTCTCATGAGACAGACGAACAGAGAGATTTTTCTCAGATGATCCCAATTTCTTCGAAGACAACTATTAAATTCTACGGAAACATTACTCTCACACATACCATCCATTATTTTCGTATCCGCATTCATAGGTCACCCGTCCGTACCGCTACAATCTAGAACAATTGTCATTGTTATTACGATGCAGATAATGTTGTTTGCGGAAGATTCTAGCGACCTTCTACCCTCGCTGTGTTTTGTTGATGTCACCCTATCAGCAGTATGAATATTACTGTTGTTCTAAATTATATTACATAGTTTTTGTATATGGTGTGTTCGGTTTATCTTATATTGATCTCCTGGATACTACGATCAACAAACAATGGCAAGATCATTTTGGGTCGATCGTCGGGCGTTCAAGAAAGAGCCTCAAAGAAGCGAAAGGAAAGCTTGTTTTCTGTCTAATGGCAGTTAATAGTACACAGCTTTATTGGCGCATTATCGATAGATAGGGAGAGGGGAAGGGCGAGCGATGAATAATTCCATGTGGCAAGCCACTTGGCAAGCTTGCTCTAAACGGTTCTTTAAACTTGTTATAGTGAAATTATAAAGTTAAACTATTGATGGATTTAGCTTAAAACCGAAACTGAAGGTAACATAAAAGCCACAAGAAGTCAGCCCAAAGCTAAAGCTGTTTCGTGTGGCTCCATTTTGTTACGAACAATTTATAGACAAACTAAGCCTAAACAAACAGCGATGCTGTAAGCGCACTCCTAGAAAGGGTACTCCTCTTTCAGAGGAGGAAAAACACTTCATGCCAGCATGTGGTTTGCACTCTGATCCATCAAAATCTAGTGGATCACCATTTGTACGAGGTGACCGACTCTGCGCAGTCTTCACTACATTTGCGACGCAGCAAAACTTCAAGAGTCATCATCGATTCACTGAATTCAAAAATGCAGACCTAAATGGGTTGTTTTTCCAGTTGACATTTTCCCGTAGAGTTATGTCCAAAGAGATGTACAAAGCACATATACACACTTATTGAATCATCAGGTTTGCCCAGAACGCTGACACACATACACAAAACAAACACATTTGGGCCTACGTGGGTCAGTGTGAGCGTGTGGCACGGCGGTGCTAGCAGATACTCTGCCGCTGGGAACAACTTTACCCACTTCGTTCGAAAAAACTAATTGGAAACTGTGCAGCACGAAAGTATCGTGCTGTTTTTTTTTAGCAGATAGTGATAGGGTGGGGAATATCCAGGTGGATCCTAACGAGGCAGAAGATGGTACGCATTTCAAATGCTAGTGATATTATCCACAACGAGTAGACCAGAACGATGTACTTCAAGCACAGATATGTGTTAGATCAACGAATCGGTAATCAGCTGCCGATGATGATGATCAGGCTTCAGTTATAAAGTGAACATACATTACTGCGGCGGAATGTAGGGATGAAACCTCCCAATCGGCTTTTCGAGCTTCCCTGCTGTTTTGATGCTTCGTGAGATATACTTGGATAAGGGCAACAAATGATATAGAGAAGCCCTCTATAATCGGGTTCTTCTGTCGACCAATCAGTCATCAGGATTAATAATGGTTTTATTTAGAGGACAGAAGACCAAAACTGCTGGCAGCATCGTATGGTTATCTTCCGCAGAAAATTTTAGCGTAAGTGCAAGTTGCCATATTCCTTGAAACTGATATCTGCGTACGATCTTCTGCTGGACATGTATTTCGGTGCATAGGCACTGCAATACAACTTTTACAGATAAACACATTCGGTAAATAAAGCTGTAAAAAATATATCACGAAAATTAAGATCGGTGAGGCGTAGAGACTATACTAAACTCGATAGACGGTTCACAACTAGGTCAATGTATACGAATGGTTGGCTGTGTGCCTCTCAGACCGGCTGATTTACAATAAAAATAGTAATACTAATAATAGATATCGTGTAGTTCACTGGTGCCTATGGTACGCGGCCGTACGTCCATCATATATCTACACGCTTCAATCGTCAACTATCTTGAATCTAAGTAATATAATCATTTGGACTTTTACGCGATCTAGAGGAGCAACGTATTGCCAGCTATCACATAACTCCCCCGCTGTAATAGTTTTCATTTTAACTTTCACACCAACTGGCCCCCCGTGCAAATTGTCATCTAACATAAAAAAAGTTTGTGTTTAGTTCATGGAAGAACCTCCTGAATTCAGCATCTGTAAACAGAGACCGTTTGCTAAATATGAGATAATTATCTCAAAGCTTCCAGCTCCGTTATGATTGGTACACGCACACATACAGAAACTCATAATACAAACGATTGTTGCAAACGGTCGGATGATGATTTTTTTTTGGAGTACTTTTTCGCACATCGTAGGCGCACAGTGGAACCTCACGTTCCCATGCAGCTATGGCATTGGCAAACAAAAAAGTGAACGAAGTGTGACCGTCTACCGCAAACGTTCTAAGCGTTATCTACCTATTGTTTGCTGTACTTATATTGTAGGGCTACGATCCGACGCTGCGTTCATTTGAATCCTCGATTGTTTCAGTTATATTCCATCATGATCCTTTTAGAATTATTAAAAATTAGTCCACTACACATTTACATTGGGTGCGACGTGAGGTCATTTTCGCCCATGTCATAAATGTCATAATCGATATGATCATTATTCGTGGTAAATTTTTGAACCTTTTTTTTTTATCATCATCGTCATTATTAATTATAATAGGCGCCAAAATAACAGTGTACATAGTAGAATAAACAGATTAACACCACTTTCTTATTCGACAGGTGTTCCTATCACGCGCAAGCTAAGGCCTGGCCTTCGTCGTTCCTCGCTTTTCTCTACGCAAATAGATTAATAAATGAATTCATAAACTATTGTCTCTCTTGTTGATATACTTTCATTATTTTCTATGCAATAATGGTTAGTGATAAAGTTATAGTCCAACCATTATCATTACGATTTACGTAAACGCAAATTACGTATTGATTCACTAAAATCATTTTCTAACCTATATAATCTCATTTTTCTCGTTATAACGTTCCTAAACAATGTGCGTATATGTATAAAATCAGTCGTGTTTAGATAGACGGATGGTGATCAGTATCGATATTAAACATTCTTCATAAGTGAATGCAAAAAAGTTCCATGCGACTTAATCAGTAAATGTTTAGCTGACCAAATGATAATCAGGCTCAGGAGAGGATTGCTTGGCCTAAACGGTCACTTTGCTGATTCATTGCACCTGACAGCGATCTCGTTGATGTGTATGTAATTAGTGAAAAAAGTAATGCTAATTAAACTGTGTATCATAATGGCATTAGTAGTTTACTATTCGTCGTTCGAGTCAGATTGATGGAGATCAGATTATCATTTTGCATCAAGTTGATATACGGTGTGTGGTACAGTATCAATATCAAATTATATATATATATATATATATATATAATTGTTATTATTAATGAAACACAAAAAAACAATGAACACAAAAATGAAACATAGAAATCTACTTAGGTAGTGATTGAGATATCGTTATCTCATTGCATGTTACCTGTGTTGTGTGATATAAAGTTTTATTTCTCTAATTATATCATGTACACCATAGTGTTCATTATAGTGATAAATACTATATATATATATATATGTACGTACTAGTTTTAAGCCATTCAGTTTAACATTCGAGTCTGCTTCTCAATGCTCTACGATTTGCGCGTTACCCCATAGTACTGACGGAAGTTAAGAATCGGCAATCAGAAAAGAGAAAAAACGAAACGGCCTAAAGGCAAAGAATCCAGTTGCATCCTGACAACGTCTGCAGGGTACTCGTTGTTCCCATATTTGTTGTCCTTTGATTCGTTGCCATTTGGATGAGAGCCGATTTAGGTCGTTGGGGCAGGTGGGATACACGGGTTTGCCTCAGCTGATGACCGCTTCGACTAGACCTAAGGGTATAATGGACAAAATGAAATTGTCTTTTGTCGCCTACAGTTGTAGGTTTATTATTATATAATCACTTTCACTTCAGTGGAATAACATTTGAATGCGTGTTTAAAGAAAAGCTTTAAGTGATTCTTAGATAGCCGTTGGGGGAAACGAAACTGGGCATGCATGGAAGATGGAGAGATAGTTCACACATACGACGCAATGCATTTTTCCTTCACTACCCTTTTACGTAAATGGAGGCTTTATACAGTCCACTTCGATATTCGGGCTCGCTGGAACTTTTTGAGATTCCTTCCCGTGAAGACCTCCTAGATTGACTTACTTAGGTCATGCATTTCTAATAAATGAGTTGTTGGACTTCTATAATGCTGGCGGTAGGGCGCAAGGACCGGTGGCCTAAGTTGATACTTGCGCACATTTGCTGCTCATCCAAAGCTACCCATACAGGGTTTGTCAACACTATCAAGCTTCAAGTAAAGCATGTAAATTTAAGATACCAACCGTGATGAAGAGCTTGCATGTTACTTCCGTCGACTTTGGCGAGCGTCCCCTCAAACTGAGCGTCTATTTCGAGTTGTTAATGTGAGTGCATGTATGTTTGTGTGTGTTCTCAGCAGAGCTCGGCTCTTAAGTACTGGAAAGCTGCACTATAGCTGAATGCGTAACGAATCTCTAAAGCGGCAACACATTCGTTCAAGACACGTCGGTGGCTAGCTTTGCTTTTCCTGTCGCATTAAACAAAAATTAATATTTTTTCATGAAAATATGTTTTATCAACAGCTTGGATAACCATGTCATGTTATATTTTCATGTCCATGTCAGGAATCGATAATACTGTAGTTTAAACGCCGTGCTTAACTCTCTTCTTTAAAGTGGCGCGTTATGTAAATATACAAACTCACAATAAACGGAAACAATTATAATAAGTATAAAGGCTCTCGTCTATTGATTTAATATTAGATAGGAACATGACCAGTAACCGTTTGTTTTTAATGTTCTTTCTCCTTTTACTTCTCCAGCATTCGTTTACTTCTGGCGAAGCAGCGGAAGGAACAAGCAGCTCTGAGAAAGGCGCTGCTTTGTGCCAAAGCTTACATCTCTGCATATTCGGCAGCAGCTTATGGCCCTTTAACGTGTTTGTGTTGATTATCATCATGATGATTTGAATAAGAAAAAAGTGCTCAATCTTCCCAAAATTACCCGCGGTCCGTTCTGTTGATGACAATTACAAGATTCTTACCTGTATTCGTTGCACGCTGAACTTTTTGGGTTCGATTCATTCGGGCTACTACTATCAGCGATCACATTTAGTTGGATGGAGCCTGAAACGGATTAGTGGCAGCTGGTTGTTGAACCATATTGTTGTCCGTCTGCGAAAAAGGCGCCTGTGCGTAACCAGGCACCGCACTTTCGTGTCCTATGGTCTGTCCGTAAGTCAACGCATCGGGAGCAGGCTGCTCAGCTGCATCGTAAGTTGACATGAACTGACTCGCATCCAGGCCCTATATCAAAAGCGATTTCAGCATTACTGATCTGAATAATCATTGAAAATAGTTGCCTTAATTAACGTTTTTTTCAGAGATGAAATCTGCTATGGACATTTTAATTATCAACCGCCTTTGTTTTGTTGATGTTTTCCTCCATTCTTTAGCAAAAATCGTCGACAACAGGTAAACTTAGATCACTAACGCAGTAGAATCGTTCGATTTAGAACTCAAGTTTAATTAGACGCGATCTTTGATGTCATTGTGCTCGACTGATAAGTATTCTGACCCCAAGCGTGCCTAAACGGGAAATTGTTCCCTACCATTACCAAAACGAAAGAAAGACTGGATACGTGTATTTCAGAAGCACTACTAACTTGAACGGGCTCATCTTATATACTAATTAAATCATAAAAACCATAGTATTAAAGGACGTTTAGGTCAGAAGAAAAGCAAATTAAACAATAAGTGCTTTGTATTTATACTTTACGGTAAATGTGTCTCACGAAAAATTTCGGTACAAAGACGCCAAAACGACTTTCTACATCAACAAACGCGTAAGGGCTAGTTATTAAGCTTTTTATTAATTATGGTAGTTATTAAGCGTATTGTTCGATCACCGTAGTTCATCGAAAATATTACCTGTTTGTATCGCAGATAGGCGAGGTAGCTGCAACCGGCCTGTGGGTGACAAAGATGACTCAGGTTAGAAAATGGCTGGCTATATATATATATATATCTTCTATATTGCTGATTATAGACTATTAGTTGAAATGCGGCGCCTGCTTGCGTTTTATTGTTGTTTATGGCTAGATGACGTACCCAGGCAGGAATAGCGAAGAAACAAAAGGCGATGGCCGCTCGGACGTTGTTAAGGCCATAACCGTCATAGGGCATTCGAGCACGACGCCATGAGTTCGAAAGGTGACAGAAAGCTACAAAGCTCATAACTGCCCACGCCGCTGTAAAGCAAAACAAATGCAGTAGTACGTTGAAGTTCAGTACGGTTAAGTTATTTTAAGGGGTTGATGCAATACGAATGTTATTTACAATTAATAAGTCACTTTCAAGTTCCACTTGTAATACATATGTAAAATTATATTTTATTAATTAATGAGTTTATCTCTTAGCTGTATAATGAACAGTTATCAATATAGCTTCGTTATAGTCAAGAGTGAGATGGATATATATAGCTTTGTTGCTCGTAACTCGATTTAATGATACGAAGAATAAGAACGCAATATGTGTCATACTGTTTTGACTAATTGTATGTAGTTATGTAGCAGCTATTTACCGCAGAAGGCCATGTCCGCAATCACGGTCCTCCGTCGGATCTTAATCGACGAGAACGAATCAAAGAGGGCATCACAGACAAGAAGTGCCGAAGCGGCAAGGAAACCCACTACTCCGACGGCGTTTCCCAAAGTGCACGCACTATCGTCACCATCGTATTGACATCGGCCATCTGAAGTCCAGCCTTCCGTTGAAATACACGCAAAAACTACCACCGAGAATAGCTATTCACAAAATAGGAAACGTGACAGACAAGGTTCAGACTCGTTACACACTAGACACTAAGCACATATTGCCATGATTTTTCTTACACAGTATACGTCATACCTTCCTGAAAACTATCGGCTTGATAAAGGCTTTGGTATTAAACATTCTATAGCCAATATATTGAGCACGAACGAAAATTAGTTACGAGCTTCAGATAAATGCAATTATCAGGTACTTATGAGTTAAAATAGAGATGATTAGTTGAACCCCACCCTGCTTTGTCATGCGTCACTGCTATAACGTTATATACAGCCATTTTCCTGTCATATAGAAAGATATGACCACTACTGCTCTCGCAGGGACGGAACACATTACAACGTTGTGACAAGTTGCTTATTCTGCTTGAGCATGCACTGACCCTCGTGCGCATTGTAGCGTGCCTGTGTATACCTTAACTCATAGCTCTAAGCACCCTTATCGAAATGCCCCTATCTCAGCCCAAGAGAACATTCATACCTAAAATGAGATAGCAATTGTATTGATTTTAAACATAGCTACTATCTAGCCGTAACCTTGCTAGTAAGACAGCGGTCTATCAATCGTATAGATTAAAGTGGCAGCATTAAGGGAAGTATGCAACTCACCCAGCACAACGACCGCAGCATAACGTGTGGTCGCATTAGGAAACCCACAGCATCAAAGCCTTGCCCGGAGGCCGCTTTACCGGCGCCGTACGCTCCGCCGTTCATCGTGGTGCCGTGGGCTATATTTTACGCTGTCCCGTACACACGACGACGATACGTCCTGCTATTCTCACTATGCTCACCTGCACCCCCTACAATCTCCTCACCCAGGGTTTAGCCTTTCGTGGACTTCCACTTTTACATCCGTACTTCCACCTACACTGAAAAGCCACGGTTTTTCACGTTGTGCCGCCGTCCGTCACGGGTTAACTATTGACCGTGTTTCTATATGCGTCCGTATAAAGAAATAGTGGCCGTTTTACCAAGCGGAGCAATAGCGTTAGCAGCAACTGAAGAGAACTATCGTGTCCTTATTTAAAGGTGGCTTTGGCTATTTTGATTGAATTGCGAATCCAGCAGCTTTACTGGGTCCTTGGTCGAGAAATGATCAAGAAAAAAGACGAAACAGTGCGCCGTTCTGTGAGGTAGCTACAATGGCCAAAAGCCCAGGCACCATTACAACATAAGCAGTTTAGAGAAGAAAAAAAAACAGCGCTTTATGCAGCTAGGCCGACGAGAAGACCCGTTGATGCTGCTGCTGCACTCAGCTGGACAGAAGCACCGTTGTTGGTTTGCTTGCCTGCTTGCTTGGCCTGTGTGTGACGTGAGCCACTGGCCCCCAAACGACCTGCGGCCCTCCGAGTACTGCGCTTCACTGGAGAACCCAACACGTACAAGACAACACGGTACGGACTAACGGACGAGTATGCATTCTATCTATCTCTCTCTCTAACATACACATTCATCTATACATACATACACGCACGGGTAGGACGAACACAACCGTCGCTCTACACCTACCGCTGATTACCGCTGATACTACGCTCCCCCTCCCCGCCTTTCCATAGACATAGTTCAGGTCTGCGCGAAGGAGGGCTGGGCCTCGAGTCAAATGTGTTCGTTTAGACCATAATGTCGCTAAGTCTCAAATGTGCGCGCCTAACATCACTCTTACAGCGCCTTTTTTCTTCGCAAGGGAAAGCTAAGGTTAGTCACGTATTTTGTGGATAATATTTCTTCATACGGACACCTGTGTGCATACATGGTCTAGAGAGTTATCGATGCTCTCTGCTATAATAATACATCATACTCCATAAAGGCTATGCCGTATCACAACGTTCGAACAGAAACCTGGTGCGAGCTGATTTAACAGCGTAATTACAAATACGGAGTTAGCGCATTAGTGACATCATCAATCTATAATTAATTATATTAATGATGCCTTTATTACCGCATAACACAAAGAAACGGCACATTGAGAAACGCTAGGTTGCGGCTAGTGCCTGTAGCCGAAATGCCAATACAGGACTTCGATATAATCTTAACGCTAGCGGAATGCCATTACTATATTGGAAGTCCAACGAAAATTTTTTTAAAACTTTTTTTAACAAGGGCGCGAAAATTCAAAAATGGTAAACACATTTTTGTTGTAAGTGTTATCCATATACACTCACGCCTACACTCAACTTCTTCTTGGATACGCACTCAACATAAAAGAGCATCCAATGGCTATGACGTGTCGTGGCTCCGCCTGGCGAGGGCAGCGCAAAGATTTCTCAGTAAAAGCTTGATTTAACCTGCCTCCGCAGGTGGCGCCATCAGCGTACTGCGACTACGGCATTCTTGGCGGTAATCGGGATTTATATATTCGGAGCCACGTAACGAAGCCTGAGATTTACAGACACATGTCAACTTCCCAATACCAATAGACTTCTGAACAGCAACGTTAATTTGGAAAAAAAAACTATCGTCAGTCACTCATTTGATAATTTGTTTACCCTTCCTTAAAAGCAGTTTCTAAAGCTGTAGTTTACTTTGCCTACTTACTGGATGTCAAAGGTTTATTAAAGAGTCAATGTCAAACCGTTCCTTGCGCGGCAAAGATACCCACGCAACGAGTATTGCATTCTAACGAATTTCATTGCATCGCAGCCTAGAAGCGTGATCGTAAAGCAGAAGTTTTTGTTGTGTATCCTACGTTGTCATGAATGTCTTGGTTCGTCCTGCGGACAAATTGACTGCGCGTAGCTTGCGGTAACACGGTTTTCACACATTTCACCAACCGTAATTTCAGTTTGTCATACAAGTCTTTATTTCCACTAACTATCAATCCTACGATAAAACACACAATATCCATTCGATTAACGAAACTAAGTATTTACTTTCTACCGTTTCACCGCGCACTTCACCTAGCACTCTCTCATCTCTCTTGTGATTCTTTTATAGCAGAATATATTAATACGTCTACGTGAGACCAAACAACGCGGGGCAGGCCTAATGTTGTGAGCTGTGTGTGGAGCAAAATCCCTATCTGGGATTTCCTTCCACAAAGGTCATTTCCTTTTCATTTTCTCATCGTTCCTCAAGCTTCACTGTCTAATAGCACTTTATACCTAGGATTTACACTTAACAGTACAGACCAATCCGAAACCAAAGAACAATAGTTTGAATACATTTTTACAGTTTTTCTAGTTCGAATACAAGTTTAAGATGTTTTGTTTCCAGACGATGTGGTCTTCAGACTCGGTTGAAGGGGTGCATTTGCCATAGAACATGAAGGCGATGCGTGACTGTGGTTGTGGACGAAAGTGACGAGAGAATATTCAGTCAAAATTTTAAAAATCACTTGTGATATATACTTAACAAATTCCAGCACGCCTGTTGCAATGTTGACCATATTTACAGCTCACGACCATGAAATAAACAGCACATGATATCATAGCTTAGCTAAACTTGCTCCTAAATAAACAAATCATCTTTTATGTGAGAAGCTTGGTAGAGTAACTCGAAAACTTACTAAAACTAAAGCTTGAAACGCGGCTAAAATAGCTTGCAGTGTCATTGCTAGACATAAGTACTAAAAACCAATTGAGAAGCCTGTTTATATTACATTACAAACAAATAGCGACCCATAATTAGTCCTCGTACCCGTTTGAAAGAATGAATAATTTGCATATGGCAGAATATGCCATCCACACATTTGTGAATCTAGTAAGGTTCGTGGTAATGGTACAACAACTCTATATAACCTTCAATATGAAATTAATAAAATGTGATCAAAGGAAACAGAGACCAAAAGTATGTGAACAAAAATGGTGGAGACGTAAACGTTAGATTCTTTGTAGAGTTCTTTGACAAGTGATGCAATAGCCAAGAAGGCCTGGCAAAGGGTCGTGTCGACAGGTCAAAGCTACTCAAAACGCTGTAAGGCAGAGAACCTCGAAAAAACGTCTGAATTTCGAACGAAAAGTCTTAATCGAGTGTGGGACTTGCCACTGAGAAATGAGTCTGAATAAGACATAAATGATACACTGCGCGCTTAAAAGCTACTCGTCTGAAACATGTCCCTGGGCGACTCCGCTTTGTTTTTCTAGCATGAACCTTCGACACTCTGAACTGCAGTGTATATAATATCGATTTGTGTGTTTTAGCCTTCTTCAGCTGTGGTTATATATTTATTGGCATCTTAATAGGGTACATTCCGCCCGAGTCCCACTTGAGATCCTAAATTAAGGAGTGGATTTTTATGATTATCACGCACTAGCAGCAAGCATTGTTTGAATATCAATATACCAGAATTAATAAAAGGTTACAGTTTTTAAGATATATGAAAGACAAACCTGCTCTGTCATTAAATGTGGCCCTTTAAACAATCATAGTTTTTTCATTGTCGTCAATCAGGGGGACACTAAACTGGAAAATTTTTCGCGTTACCTAATCCATTAGTTTCAAGTTTTTTTCTAACAATCAATCCAGACTATTCAACCCACGGACTCGAGCTTGGTTTGCTCGGCAGAGACAAACAAGTCTGCACTAGTTCCGTCCAGCTCATTCGTCCGCTTCGGAACAATCGCTGCAGCAGCCAGGCCCTTCATTGTAGCGCCCACTGCCTCTACGTAAATTGACAGTGTCGCAATTTACTAGCAAGTCCAATATTTGCTGAATTGACTTCTCTATTATTTATTATCCAGTTGAGTAAAATACAAACAAAATGCAAACGAGGTTAATAAATGACATTATACATGCATATAATTATTTAATAGAGTAAGAATTACATTGATTAATTTATTGTTGTTTCTAGCGAAGACTCGTCTGGCAAGCAAGTTCTCAAGTTTTATCGTATCTATGGTTTTCATTTAGGAGCTTTACAACTACAAACGAAACTTGTAGATGGAAATCAGATGTTCAAAAGAACCTAATTGAGCTGCAACGGTTTGTGTCCATCTCAGTTATGTACGTCAGCCTAAGCTAGCTGAAAGCGAAGGCTATAACAGACCATATTTGTCGATAATAAGGACGTTTAGAACTTAGAACGCCTGGTTAGTTTTATATGCTACTTTATTTTTTTGCTCACTAGACATAAGACAACAAATTGCTCGATTCAGTAATTGCTATAACCAGTTTTATTTTTAACAATCCGAATATGCCCATCTGACATACATAAAAGCTTTTGTAGAGTTAGCTAGAAGCTTCCTCATCCGGTGGTGGCGCAGGCGCATTTGGGTCACTGCAAACAGCAACAAAATACAAAACAACAAAGTGCTTTTATAAAATGTTAACGATGCATATCGGCTAGCCTTATGAAGGAAAACTAAATAATTAGTTAATTTCGCTTTCAGATCAGAGAAGCGTTACTGATGTTGGCATTTGTATACTCAGAAGAGCAGCCTTGGGCCTCGGCCGCCCTCTCGCGTCGTCTGCTGCACTGCAGCCTGAGCAATTTCCTGAAGTCCAAGACATTTTTCATATCCTAGCGTCTAACTACTTCACCCTGCTAGGTTTCTTACGCGATACGTTATTTTCGAGTGAACTAAGTTTTACTGATGTTTTTTCGGACAATTTGACCCGCGAACTTTATTGGTTTTATGATTTTCATAAAAGCTGCTATGGTCCCTTCTGTTCGCTAGCTTTCAATGCAGATTTTAGTATATTTTTTTGCGCTAAATAGGATTGTTAATAACAGTGTTCTCGACGAAAAGATTCAAACGAAACATGCCTGACAGCCATAGATCGTCAGTGAATGAAGCGCTCAGTAACAGCTTATGACAAAAGAACGAACTGCTAAGGATATATCTAGCTGAGAGTTCTGGAGTATTTCTTGAATCGGTGCTCGTAGCTTATCGTTAGACGTGTGGTTGTGACGACCTGTTCTTCGATCATGGACTGCTTAGTATTCTACAATTAATTAAATAAGTGTAGTAGATATTTATACTGTCATGTTTAGTTCCGATATATCGGAATGTTATTGGATTCACTTAAATTTCCAGCACCCATAGAAAACGCATCTTTTCAAACTTACAATGTGTTACATATGATAATCATCTCGATAGATCACTAACAATCGGTACGCAGTCTCGGTAATCCGAACCAACACGTTACCTCATTTAGCGTCTCGTCCGTTGGATCTGATTTCTGCCCGAGCTCCGTTTCGGAACTTGCTGCTGAGAATGTTACTTCTGTGGAACCGCCGGGTTGGGCTTGTGGCAATGGCTGCTCTGTTATAACCTCCATTGATGTGGTTGGTGTTTCAGGTTCAGGTTCAAGAGTGACGCCATCGGTGAGGCCAGGAATTGAGTTCAACTGATGGTCAGCGTAGAAGTATATCGCAGTAAAAATTGACTTCATAAATAGCCATGTGCACATTTTTCCTAGCGACTTTTATGTAATTTCTATCAGATGCGCATTCTAGGTATACTGCTGGGTTACACGAATGCTAATAAAGCGCTCTCATTTTAACCCGTAATCGGGCTTCTCAAACCACTCTCGCTTGCCTACCTGCTAAAGGTGAGAACACTCTGAATGTTTCGCAATTCACTTTGAAACGAGTAACCATCAACGATATTTTGTTATGAAAGGCGTGCATCACGTTTCCTATTAGAAACAAAATCAAGTGTCGATGAGCTAAGGAAGGCTCTGTTGGAAGAAAAACTCGATGCCGAAATGAATGCAGATCTAGTCACCTCCCAGAACACAAAGAGCATCTTGAAGAAGCTTTGAAATAATCAACAATCTCTAAGATAAAAACAAGGGTAGATAGACCTCCTGTGGTAAACTTAGAAAATTGTTAAAAAATGGTGGCATGCGGACATTAAATAAATAAGAAATCAATAACCACTGGGATTCGGACGATTGAAGGGTGCATCGTTGATATTTGAAAATTGGCGGGAAATCAAATTTAGTACAAAGTGCAATGTAATTGCTGATATATGAGAAGTCTTCCAGTTACATGTTGTAGTTAGCCCGTAGAACGGTGAAGGCGCTAGTGCTGCGAACAAGGTCTTCGATGTTACCTCGGTTGGGAATAATGCGTATTATACATATGTAATTCCATTCAGGTTTTATGTTCACAAACCTTTCCTTCAAGGAGGCACACTCCAGCTTCTAATTGCTGCAGTTGTTCCAGAGCGCGCTCCAATCGACGCTCAGCACTTGCGGATATCTGCACCACATCCATAAATGCAAAATGAAAATGAATAAAATTACGCATTTGTGCTGAGAATACCCAGAAAAACATGGCTCATGCTTAATTTATCAATGCGCATTTTAGACTAAAGTGTGCTAAAATAACGGTAAAGAAGTAAAAGCAAGTCCTAAGAAAATATAAATAGCGCTATGGCGATGAATTGTTAATACCTAAATTCTGACTGCGATTTGACGATTAATGCAGTAGGTCACGAAATTTCGCCTTTTCCCATTATCGTGACGACCATTTACCTGTGTAACCCTAAAGTTGACCTCTTCCAAGATAGCGTAAGTAATATTGGAGTGTAAAAGCTTGCTTTGGAAAATTCATCAAACAATCTACGTACTAAGTAAGTCATTATACTTATATAATACTAAGTATATATAATATACATATTATAAAGCATGAGATAAGCCACTGGCGTTGTTAGTTCCTGTACGCCTCAAATCGTAGTACTTTAAACCAAACTAATTTCTGCCACGAAATGTCTCACCTCATTAAGTAACTGAACTGATCGGGATAGGTAGTAATTAATGAAGGTCACGGTTTGTTTCTGCGGAATGGATGGAATCTGTAAGAGCAACCCAACAACATGAACGGTTAAAAACAGATGCTATTTTGTGAAGGTGGTGACAACTGAAATAGGGCAGAACCGGCTTGTATTCGATAATAGAAATTACCCATATAGTCCGTGTTTCATGGGCGTATCCTTTATTCAGAGCCCCATCTTGAATAAAGGTGGGCTTCTGAATATATAAGTATATGAATATATATACATATGAAAATGTAAGTTGGAAAGTGGAATATGCGCGCGGGCTACTGTCTGGAAAAGCATACGCATCCTCCAGCTAAACAGTTACATAATAAAGAGGTGCTTGGAAGCTAGACTCGCGAAATCATCCGTGCCTTCATCCGTAAGCAAGCTGAGTACTTTACAATCATATTAAACTACTAACGTTGATTTTTGAATAGAAGTGAGGTATTGTTAATATTTTTTCCTGGAGACAGAAACGTTTTTGGCTTTGCTTAAATGCACTCACCTCATTGAGATCTACGTTCCTACCGATAGCGGAAAGCTCGTCGTTGTCCATGTTGTGACAATTACGAATCTCGTACCTGATAAATTTAGAATATAACACAACGCTCGAAATTAAAATTTCAATAATGTGTATGATTTCGATACGAACTTTAATGTCACAAGGGATGTGCGCAATAAATTTAATTCTGCACTATTTTACACCGCCATGAAAACTGGTGAAAGAAATAAGATGTATATTGCCGCTAGTGGTGCTTTCTTGTCCGACAATAAGGATTCAATCCAAGCACGTTTATTAAACGTGGGTCAATGGTCGACTTCTCCCTAACAGCGATACGGAAACAGAGTGCTTGTGCTGCACGCAAAAATTCAAATCGACTCACGAACCCAAATACCTAAAGTTCAATGTAACCGATGTAAAAGTAATACGTGTATTACTTTGTATATTGGCATGACCTGTATCGAATAGATTTGATTATAAAGCCCGCTGGACTTGTCTTACTATTTTCGCATACAATCTAGGACATATTTTAGCACTTCTATGGGATTTTACGTTATCAGTAGGTTGCCTCACTGAACGTGATCGGGTGTCGTGCCTGAGTCCTTGATCAATAGAATCCGTCACCGGAAAATGTCCCTATTTGTGTTCATCATATGTCTCTATCGTTACTCGTAATGATAAAATATTTCATACTTGCGGCAGTTCTTGTTATAGACCTATGTGTATTTAGCACTCACGCTCGGTGCCTGCTTCAACAGGTCGAAGGCATTGCTTCTACAGATTCCTTTTAAAGTTCCACATGCACTGACATCTGGATAAGGATGCTCAATTTTTTTTGCAGGATATAGTAAGTTCGATGTGGGTGAATTAACCATAGGCGTTTGATTTCACTCAGAATATTTTTAAATGTAATTTCAGGCTATTCTTTTGTATGTCGTTTCTTCGTAATGATAATAATAAGTTCATAACCTTTATTCCAGCGAACACCGATTTCGGCTGATAGGTAACTAACTGTTTATATTCTTGAAAACACCTCTCTTTTTTTCTTTATGTTGGCAGGTTGCAAGAATTTAAACGAGTTCCCCTCCCAGAAGCCTTCTAACGTCCTTATATTAGTCGTTAGTATTATGATCCGAGCGTATACGTTTTATTAAAGCAGGCTTCATCTATGATTCCAGCGAAATTTGACAAATTCCGGGAGCAGACTCGTTTTAAATAATAAAATACATCAAGTCGCCTGTACATTTTCGCTCATTTTAGTTTGTCCCAGTAAAATTCGCATTTCCAAAGGAAGCGAAACCAGTCTAATCACAAGTACGCACAAGGCCTATACAAAATAAAATTCCTATGCAGTATAGTACGCCGCACACGTAACACCAGTTATTGAACTTTTGGTTATTATATTTTGTAGGTATGAAAGGTAGCGTGATATTGTTAAAACAGATCTTGAACAGTGGGATCTGCGATAGTTATCACCTTAAGTCAGCACGTTACAATAAAACTGTTTCTTTACGGTTAGTTAGTTCGGTTATCATTAATCTATTAACTGTCTTATTCAGACTGCTCATTGACTTACCGGGCTGTATGCACAAATCAAATACAACGTTTGGGACCTTACGTGCCGTCTTCTACGTTAGCTAATGGCTAGATTAGAATTTCTTAGTGTCGTTTCCACCATTAAGATCCAGCGCATTATTTGTAAATAGTAGTTAGCTAGATTTTACTCACGATGCTCGAACAGGTTATAGGTTCATTTGTCAAACTGGTTTAGGACTTTAGGCCAGGTTATCCTTTATATTCCTATTCAAGGATAGAAATAACTTAGTGTCAATATAGCTTCGAACGGAGAGAGCGGACCAGACCAATATAGGATTTAAAAGGAGACGGTGTAACACATATTACCCTAATTCGAACTTGTATTCACTCTATTTTCATCACAAACGTCGGCCATATGATTGGCTGTGATGGCGTTGTAGATTATGACATGTGTTTTTCTTCGTGGGTTGCTATTTACGCTCTAGACGAGGGAAAGGGCAAGGGCGTCATGGAGACATGAATTAAAGAATACTATATTTTTGATCATTCCAAGTAAATTGCACGCTATTAAGATGGTGCTACGTGACCCGAAACCGCGATCTAAACCTCCAAGCGACGAGTTTTATTTCGTACACATAGCAAGACAAAATAGGTTAGTTTTGTTTAAAAGCGTAAACACGTACCTGTGATTTAAACCGATGTGTCTCTGAGAATTATATACTATTATGTAATATTATATGTTATTATTAAAATGTACTCTCACTATTCGTTACGTAATTGTGGAATCCTATTAGATATTCATAATCTTCTGTTAAGCTCAGGTAACAAGAAGTTTAAGCCTTCAATCTGGCTAAGAATAAAAATCTGTCGGTATAACACAGTAAAGAGAGCTTCGAATCCGACTCTGAAGTAGTTGCCGTTTCGCCTCGAGGCGCTGACGAGTAAGAGCATTTATACTGTATTTTCGCTGACAAAAACCAGAGAGAAACGAGAGCGATTGACGAGGTATAAAACTTCTTGCGCTAGATAGCTTAATAATAACTCGAAACAAATACGATCAAACAAATTTAGACAACAACGAAAGCCTCCCAGGTGAACTACTCATATATTAGAAATGAGCTCCGCTTACTTCGTTAAAACAGACACGTTTACAGCAACGCAAACGTTTTCATTCCGTTCTGACTCGCCTGGGGAATAGGCAGCTTGTCTCAATCAAGTTTCATCGGTCATCAAATAAATTCGCTTTTATAAATGCCCCGAAACTAAAAGGGGCGTTTGTGCCATAAGTGTATTGATTACGATACATTGAGTTCCTAACTGTGGCTTTTCTAAGTTTCTATGACTATTATCGTAAGATGCGGTGGTCCGGATTTTTTTAAGTTCATCTTCAGTAACGACAAAAAGATACGTTTTTGTAAATCAAATTGCGCTAGGCTCTACGAATTCATTGGCTATATTTATTATGATACAAATTAAGCGCGTAGCGTAGCTTTGCTATTCTCAGTAAATCGCCTTTCGGTTTGGAAAAAAGTAGATCTACGGCTAAATGTCACAATCCATGCATCTTTCTCTATTATTTTGCAAAGGGATGCATGGCCATGGCATCTATCGCCACCAGATGCCCATATGTTTCTACCAAGAAACGAAGTGTTTGTCGAGGGTAAAGTTCACTTTCGTGAGCTCTAAACTAATAACCTCATACGAAGATATCCAGAAAGTGACGCCGGCAAGCAGGTACTGTTTTAACTGCAACTTCAATTCCCTTTACTGTACCTCAGTATGAATCGCACGTTATTCCGATGGAGCTATCGACGACTCGAGATTTGACACAATTAATGTGCCCGTTAGTAACTAGTATTGCTCTTGTATGCCCCTACGGTTTTGCGATATATAGTGGATGTTTCGCTTGGAATTGTCGAGGAGTCGGTCGTTACAGCCCGCACCACCATAAAGAGCAAAATAACAGTGTATATTGTAAATCTATGTATTTCAAGGGTTTGTTAAGTGAATGAAAGGTCCGTTGAACGCGCGAAGCTCTGACCTATATTACGGTTGTAACTTCTATTTTAGTGGAAATGTGTTTGAATACTTTATATCGTATAGTATTCAAACACTTTTTTTTATATACTCGGATTTTTTCGACCCGGGTTTGGGCATTCGCTTCAAACGTTACTTCAAACGCACTATAACCAAAAATAAGTTTCGCGGTGTAAGTTTTCAGGCACATGGTTTATTGTTTATCACAACAGTTCGTTTGATTGGGTAGTAGCATGTTTTTGCGAATGGGTTTTTCTACCTATTGGCACGTTCGCAACAATCGAGTAATCTTTATATGACTGAGGATTCAAAGAAATCTCGCGTAAATTTAAATGCAGTGAATTTGTTTAATTAAAATTTCAGCGGTACCTTTCAGTATACTTAGATTCTGCATCGTATGCCGTATTACGCTAGCAGATTTGTCGATGTCAAATCTTCCACCCATAAAATTTAAGGATAGTTTTTTTTTTCCCTATATTATATACAAGCAATTCAGAAGCGAACCAAACACATCGAAGCGGCGGGACTGCCTGTATACGCTTAGCGCTGCTAGTGTATACATACATATGTGCATATGAAGCAGCTACAGTTACACAAAGGCCTGGACGAAAATGTTGTTAAACCAATTCGACTGCGCATAATATTTACAACACCAACGGTAATTACAAGTTGAACTTTATACCTCTAGACACTGTCTGTTACGTGTGGCAGGTGAGATAGAGTGATCACAAGCTTACATATCGTATCGCACGTCCTGCAACTTCCAATAGCTCATATTTAATCTCAGAAATTCATAATTTCATCGAACACTGACATTTGGCGGCAATTTATACATTGCGCACCATAGAGCCTCTCTCACTCACCTCGCCACGCTTCCAGGCACCGTCCTGGCAGGCTTTTGTCAGCTGTTTTTCAATAACACGGATCTTTTGCGCCATGTTTGCTCCGACAGAGTTCGCAGCCCTGGTTCTGTGTAGTATTATTTGTATACTACAGATCTATTAGCTCGTTCACTTGGTAACCGTTCGATGACACCTTTTAATATAGGATGAAGATAAACTGATTGGACGTGAACGGACATTCAGTCATCCATGTGTCTGGCGTTTATTTACTCATATGAAAGTACCGTTACAAGTCGCCAGTAAAGAAAGCCTTGAGGCACGTTAAGTCGGCGCAACGAGGCACGAAAAATGAGACAAGCTGACAATTCATATTGCTCTATTATAGACGAAGTAGGAATCGTGCTCCTTGTATAAGGCTACCTAAAATTGTCGATTATGTAATGTCAATTAAATGCTCCCGTAAGGGTTCAGTATGCAAACTATTATCAGTTCAAAGTGGCCATAGATTCGTTTTTCTTTTTTCGATGGCATGACCAAAGACCGCCAGCTTAGAGAACAAAACCGCGATCGGAAATCTTCTGCGTCTACACTGACATATTGCAAGCTGTACCCATACAAGTTACTCTTCTTCTCAAAGCTGCTACAGTTTACAGTGGTACCAGTAGCAAAGTTTAAGTTCACAACCGGAGCCAGTTGCTACTACTGAATCTTTATCGTATGTTAGATTAGGTTAGGTTATCCTCATAGAAACACTTATTATTTGCTGCTCACGTATTGACACATAGTGGATACATCATGGAGGACATTGTCACGTATTCAATAAGAGATATTTACTCAGCATTAGCGTTACGTAATACGTGCACGGGTACGCATTCAGCATTCTACACGTATATAGGCGGTATGATAACCATTGTCCATCCCGAAATGGATTAATATACACTAACCCTAGTGTTTACTAGTCCAGTAACATGAAACATGTGGAAATAGTTATTCTCGATGATGTTGAAATTTTCCTTTCTACGATTTCTCTGTCCTATGCTTAAAATCATTATGGCTGTATGTATATCGAACATGTTATTTTTATCCCTGTGTGGCCAGAAAAGTAGCAATAAGTATTGTATATGCTGAAGTTACTTATTTAGACGATGCATACCGTTGAAGTGCTCCGTTAAATTATTCGTTAATTATAATATATGAAGACAACAAGCGTTAAGTCCCCTGAAATTGGGACTATAATAACATGTCACTAGTTCCTATGCACCGTATATTATAATGAATTAAACTAGATTCGTCGTTGAACATCTCGTGAAGTTCGTGTTCTGTCCGTGACTAGTCAAGAAGATAAATATATACGATCTTTGCTTATAAGCTGTGGTTCTCACAGTCCATCATTAACCTTTTTCGTCAGACCTTTCCAGTACACTTAATATTCTAGCACGTATCGCCGAAAAAAAACAATTATTGTTAATCTGGTAGCGCAGTTCAGTGCTGTTTGTGTTGAACGAATGAAGTTTTCACAAAACTTCAGTTCAAATGTTTATTGCAATTTCTAACTTACATCCTTGCTACAAATTTTATTAGTTAGCGATATAACAGGAAAACACTTTTCCCGCTCGAGAGGAATTGACTCTTCTTCAAACGGAAGGCTCGAGTGGCAATATACCGGCTAGTTTATATTTATTTCTGCTTGTTATTGAATATTAGGCTCAAAATGTTTGTGTTGTGAACTGGTAGAACGTCTGTTATTAATACTGTAATTTTCAAACGGCGGCCATTTCTCTAGTACGTACTGTATCCGAAAAGCGGAGAATCACAAGCAACTTTTGCGTTGAAGGTGTTATTATGTGAAGTTTAGGAAGTTGGTCGAGCGCATTGGCAGTAGGATATGCGAAAACTTAGAGATCATATAGAGCCCATAGATTTTGCGTGCATATGTGTTAGCGGCATCCATCGACACCGTGTAGTTCAAGCTACATTTGAAAAGTTACGTTCACCATAAGAGCGTAAGGTATTACGATCCTAGGCATGTTCCCCCATTTTAGCATATCACACTTACTAAAATGGTTTCTATAGACTCTTTATTAAACATCAATTAACCTATACATTTATCTCTTCTGAGGGTGCGGGCTCGTGTTTGATCATTTGTACCTGACCTGGCAACAACAGCCATAAAGATAGGATTCAATGCCGATTCACCTTCCTGTATATAGGTGCAGACGTAATAGCTCAGCCTACGGTCCTAGCAAATGAGAGTGGACGAACTCAAAATAACGCGAATTACCTCGGTATCTTTTTTTTCTTTGTAAATTGAGCGCATTTTTTTTTTGGAAAAATGCTCGATATGATTACGTAAAGTACTGAACTCTTGGTCGACGTTGTTAATAAAATTAACGTGCTCATTCAGGGCGCATGCGGTCAAACCAATCATTAGTACAATCATCATCATCATATTATTTACTCGTAAACTGTGCCATTTACTTGTTGACCAGTGTACTTAGGTGCTCGGCATATCTGTTCCTGTATTTTTGGGTGTGTCTTTGCTGTTTTTTTGTGGGTGGGTGTGTGTGTGTGTGTGTGTGTGTGTGTGTGTGTGTGTGTATGTGTAATGCCAGTAGCGTCGTGATCATTGGAGTAGGTAATAACAATAACGTTTATCGACCAATAGACAACTAGTTATTTATTGTGTATTATCTGTAATGGTCTGGCAGAAGGCCTAACGGTGATATCGTACGTAGAGCTTGAAACATCTAACGTCTATGTTTATATCACCATTATAATTTTGGTGCTATACACTAACGTACAACGAAGGCTAAAATAGGCGCAAATGATACAGAGCAGCCTATCATGGCAACATCACAGACAACAGTTCGGTCGGTGAAATTTTTGCGCTGTCCAAAACAAAATACAATTACATGGTCCTCACTTGTAACGTTGGAAATATCTACGATATTCTCACTACTGGTCAATGTCAGCTCACTAGTATCTTTGCACTTCCTAGCAACGTCACTCCCCGTAACTACTCAAAGCGTCGTTCTACAGCGTCAGAAAGCGCAATCGTCGTTTTGCTATAGCGTTGTTCGGTAGACTAAGTAGCCATTTTCGCAGGCCACTCAAGATGACACACGCGGATACAATTAAGGCCCCTGAAATAGTCCATTGGTCAGGGTACTTGGAGAAGATAATCACCTACGGAAACAAACATTAAAAATCCTTATAAATTACGACGTGACTAACGTGTGGTCTCTAGACAAGTACATGCTATAATGCAAGCAAAGTATAGTTAGCATCCCGTTTTGTTTTATCTTGATAAATTTAGAAGGTCCTTAAACGTTTAGGCAACTTTAAAACCTTGCAGTTTTTGTATGACTATTCTTTTTTGTGGCCTTTGCGATTGTCTTCGAACCCATACGGATTTTTCCACTTGAGTTCCGGAGGAAGGGAAGCACTTTGCTTCCGTCCTGTTATTAGAGCGGGCCGCTTACTTAAATCTAGTGGTTGATTATTAAAAATGTATATATATAAAATGAATAAGAGGGTATATTTTGGGATTAGAATCGTACCTGCCAAACGAAAACAAGAGCTATGTCTGCCGAGGATCGAACAACAGATACCGGCCCAGCTTGCTCACTTTGTAGGGCTCGAGTTAGGCACACCTATAACAATCATAGTTCCATTGAACAATCTGAGATTAGAAACGGCTTTATTTCGAAAATAGCTTCAACGTCCCTAACACCATAACCTTGCTCGGACGTTGGAAGCATGTAGGTTTTGCTAGCTTTGTTAATGGTCGCAAACAAGTTTTAGTATTTTGTTGAAATTTTTGGCAATCACGGCTCTTGCATTTCTGCTTTGGTGTATCCAGAAAAATCGAGGCACTTTTTGCGCTTGCATATTGAATCCAGCGACACTATACCAATACGTATTCGCATGTTGCAATATGTGCGTATATGAATAAGACAATGACAAACCTGTCCGAGGAAGCTGCAGAGCGCAAGTCCGATGACAAGTAATTGATCGTAACCGGTTCGCGGAAGTGTAAATCGGCCGAGGATTAACGTTAGGAGGGCTGTTTCTATAACAGCCACCCAGCCAAGGTTGAGTAGCACGACGAACGGGTCGATGTCGCGCAATTTTCGAAGCAAAACGTACACCGACGCGGCAAATATCGTCGACGCCAATGCCGCTATAGTCCCATATAGTCGATCTGAGCTTTCAGTTTCGTTCGTCTTAAACGCTTCGCCTTCCACTAGAAATGTCTGAGCAGTATTTAGAAATCCGCCACGATTACTGCCGCTGTCCCTGCTGCTACCGCCAACACTTGTCCAAGAAGTGCTTCTATCGATACTAGAATCGGGTGTGACGTTAAATGGAACTTCCTTGCCCAACGAAGAAACGCGAGTAGTGTCAATGTAATGAGTTGTATCGTGCCCGAAAAACATGGGCAGTTTTGTGATCAGAGCAATACCAAGCAATGTGATGCTGATCGAGACCCAATGAAAAAGAGGGCAGGATTCATTTAAAAAAAATTTAGCCATTAAGGTGACGAAGACGGGAACCGAGAAGATAATCACAGATGCATCCGCTAACGGCAAATAGTGCAAGGCACAGAAGCGTAGAAATAGCGACGTGCTGAAAAAAAATGTGTTCGTTTCTTCATTGTAATTAAGCTGCGATGTGTTGTATTTTTATTAAAAATTATGTAAAAATGCATAGAACTAGTAATGGGGCGATAACTGCGATGGCAAAAACGGATTATGCCTGAAGAGCACTCTGCACCATTTAAGTAACATGGTCTCCTTTTAAGCCGAAATCCGTTTGTCCTCGAAGTTCGGTTTACTATAATGTACAAATTCTAATTAGAATTAGACTCATTCGACCTTAGAAAACACTATTAATTGTGATTCGTGAATAATTTTACCTAGAATATTAGCAAAATGAACAAACAACCTCATGTGCTATAGCTTCTCTTTTACATGAACCGACTCTATATACACACGTGAGCGGAATAATAGTATAGTTCCCAATATATAAACATTCGGTACTGTTAACTTTAAAGCTCCTCTTACCTGCCGGCTAAACCCCGTAATATCAGCAGGCCTCGCATGTCCTTAGGCCCTAGCAGGGATTGACGGCGTGCCAATACATATGGGAGCGTGCACATGAAAATACCGACAAAACGAAGGCAGGCCAGTTCTCCCGGGTGCATATAATCCAGCTTTTTAACGATTACCGAGCATAGCGAGAAGAAGAACGAAGACGCAGCGGCTAAAAGGAGACCTCGTTGAAGTGACAATCCGCTTTCTGAATCTCCCAATTCAACTGACATCGAATCGAGTTGACATTTCGTTGAACTCCCACCCCCATCATGTGCACCGTCGTTTGAATCCACCGACGATTGGGAAACCTAGACCCAACAAAGGAGAGCAAACAATTCACAATTATCAGTCACTAGCATCTCGATTAGTATTTAGATGGCCTGCTTATGTCCAGTTGGGCGCTAGCCAGGTTCAGGTACATTACGAAGATGGTGAAAGAAAAATGCGGCACATATATCTTTCTACTCCCTGTAATGTAACGCGGGCGTAACAATACAAAATGAAACATCCTGTTCTGTCCTAAGTGTGCGATTTTATAGTGGACTTAGTAAGATAAATAACAAAAGCTAGAACTTACAAGGGCCCGTGTGTCTTCATTATCGTTGCTAGTGCAATGCGCGGTTTTGGCTGAAAGACCGATTACGGCAATTTTTTCACGAATCTTGTTAAGCATTTTGAGTCTGTTGTGTAGAAACCTCTTTAAATAAATAAATCCTCATTTGGTGCTTTGCACCTTTACCGATCCATTCTCATTTTGAGTTAGCAAAGTCCGTTCTCTTCAAAATTATGTGATTCGTCGTAATGCTGCAGCGTCATGGCGTGCGCATAGCGCTAACTGAGTGTTTTGACGACATCAATATTCTTCCAAAATTTGTAGCAAAGCGCCTTGCCTGCAAATAATAATAATTATTAATGTTATTATCACTAGATACTAACTTGCTTGACGATAAATTAGTAAAAACCCTTCAACAACTAGACTTTCAACTTCTGCATAACAAACCTGGGAAATAAAAGGGACAGTAATTGCAATTCTCCCGAAAGTTCCGGATAATGATCCTGTCATCTGCAGGAAAACAAGGTTTCGGTTGATGCGCCTTACGCTTAGAAGAAAAGAGGAAAAGCTTTCGGTTACTTCTTTTTTCCTTACTGCGGTCTCTTGCTTGGCAGGAACTGTACTTGCTAAAAACTCTGTGGCCCTAAAGGGTAGATGAAGAGGGCCGACTTGCCCAGGGTGATGCTGAGCTGTATGGGGCGGAGTAAAAAAAGGATCTCTATAACAAGCATATCACATGTGTCCCACAGGCGCGCAATATGGGATCAATTTGCGCAAACGACATTTGAAAATCGCTCGCGAACCACATGGCTTAGAAGTGCGTTACCATTAATCGTCTTTGTAAACATACAATACAGTCATTTGACGGTAATGGTAGCTGTTTTTTTAATAAACAAATTTACGAACTATTCGTGTAAAATCTCATTTGATGCTTATTTTTAACCTGTTCACTCCCCTTGCCTGAGCCGGCTTGATTACAGTATTTCCTTGCAATTATGGAAGTAATCAATGAAAAGTCGAAAAAAGAGTAACGCATTTACGCGAGCCAAGTGACATGTAAACAAATGCTGTAAACTGTACATCGATAATGTCTTACTCCGTAATATCCAGAGAAAACTCACGATGCCGGCAGACATCGATGTATCATAAGCCTCTATATTTTAAACACGAGTATAATGGAATCCATCCGGGCATACCCACTCATTCAAGACTTCATCCTACGTGTAAAGAAACACCAGTTCTAGACAGAAGGTCAATGTAATAAGACAAAGCTGTATTTCTGCCCTTGCCGACGTCATTGTAGGTCATGGGACATGTCCTAGTTAGCGGACGTTTCCCACTAGTCGTCAGCAGAGCAGCCGACTTCATGATATCATCAATACCACTACCACGTGAAACCAGTACACCACACCATCCTGTAACCGCAGACACCGCTCCTTAGGCCCTTTTGAGCCTAGATGCTGAGTGGGGTAGCCGCTTCGGATTCTACAAAGCATCCCAGCCTTAAGCGTCTCCCCGAAAGCTGTCTTGTACGTCAGATCCCTTCCTCAGTTACCCTCACCCGACTACCCTCGTCGTCCATAGACTTTCCCTACGAGCTAAAAACAACAAAAAAGAAATAGAGGGAAAATTTCCTACTCTTTTATTGTGTAATCCTAGGTCTGAAACGCATAACAAAACGTTTCATAAAGGCCAGTCAGAGATATTAGTTTTTGCATTTACAGAGATGTGCAAAGAAGTCCACGTACGCTAATTGAAGAAAGTGCGTGTGCCGGCCTCTTCTGCCAAATGGCACAAGTCTCCAGCGAATTATCATGCTCAACACTGTCGGTACATTTATATGAACTAAGCTTTCGTCGAAAAATCAATATATAATTATATATTGATATATCAATGCATAACCTGTAATGTTTCCAAGCCTCTGTTGAAGCACCTTTAGCTTGATAGATACGTTTCAGCTGCGGTTTCTAAAATCCCTACTTGTTTTGACGCCAATCGGCGAAGGTTACTAAATGTCTAGTGAAGATTTCCCAGTGATGCATCGTTTCTTTAGGGTCCTCGGAGACCCATCTTTGCTCGTAGGACAAATATTCCCAAGGTGCCGATCTGTGCAGCCAGAAACTTCTTGGTAATTCAGTTATCTAACGTATCATCATTATGCGTCCGGCAAACCGCCTTGTTCTTCTAAGTGCTGCAGAGTAATCAGTAGCATACTCAAGAAGCGTACTAAATAATGTTTTGGCTTATATTGTATAAAAAAAAAAACTCATATGCTGTATCTGGCAGTAAATACAGCATAGACAGTCCGTGTTTGACAATAAGCATGGAATAAAAAACGTGTTCACAAAAGATGCATATTTTTGCTAATAGGAGACACGTACAGAACAACATATTATCTCTCACATACTATAGAACGAAGGAAATCCGCAAAATCGTGCAATACATACAAAAAATGATCTTTCTAGAAATTTACAAATATATTAGCCTTAGTCTTGTTTTGTTTTTCTCAGTTTAATCGCCGATCGTTAATACCTAAATCGCAATGAATAATTTCCTTATTCGAATCATCTATGAGCTTATAGCGACTACATTTTTTTAGCAACCACTAAACATTACAGTATATTGCATGAGTCATATAGATGGTTCCAGATAAAAAATATTATAGCGAGGCTAGGGATATTCAAAATGGCTTCCGCGATAATAACTTATCAATGCTCGACACGATTCGTGAGTTGTAACAGCGGATCGACTGAGTAACGCAGTTTCCTTCGAAAAGCTGATGAGCGTACATTTACGTAGCTTTAAAGGAAATTGACTGACAGCGTCCGGGCTTTCTGCATGCCGTCCATAACGTAATAATACTAACACTACGCAAATGTAGAAGCCTTCCTGTAGCTCGATGAACATGCCCAATTTATTTCACTTGACCTATCTGCTGTATATCTGAATTGTTGACATCGTGATTTTACGTGGGGTGAGGAACAACACAAAATAGCGAACGTCATCGATCGCCCAGTATCATAATCATCATTGCAATGGGAGCTTCCATTTAGAACGTCTGTAGGAAACAGACGCACAGTAGTATACTGTAAGTTTCTGTAGGTAACTTAGACTTATTGACTACGATTCTGCAGCACGCCGCCTCGTTGCATCGGTCATACCTGATAACGCACCGGAAAAGAATCCTCAGATGTCGGCGAAGCACAGCCATATAACAAACGTAAGCGTGAACCTGTATCGTGCGAGTACTGCTTCCGTTCGAATAGCGAATATTTTATCTTAAGTTATATCTGTAGGCTGCCATAGTGCAAGTTCATATCGTCTGTATGGCCCACTAAGCAAGACTACTTCTGTAACGTTTTTCCGCTTTCCGCTTACTGCCTGTCGCATCGCCGTCATCAGGGCCACACCGCTCAGAAGAACTGATGGTCTTTTGCTTATTGTCTACATAAGCTCGTAGTAGTTCGATTTACCAAGTTAGCGACAGCAGCGGCACTAGCGGTGTCAATACTGCTGTAACATACCCCCCGGCAACACAGTCGCTTTGGCTATTCGGAGGCGGCACCGTCTACCGTTAGCAGAAATTCGGTATCATTTGGAAATCGACCCAATTAATTCTACAGAGTTGTTCCTGCCAGGTTACATGTAATGTTATGTACTCATGTATACATCAATATTCCTTGCAAGTGAAAAGGCCTGCGCTCAGTTATGCTCATGGTTCAATACGGAGAAAACAACTTCAATACAGAGCTTCAATTAATAGAAATACGTGCGTTATAATCGAAGACATCAAGGGCACTTGCGACGCAATGGAGTACGGGACACGCCTAATATATAGTGGAAATCCAGCTTAATCTAATCACAGTCGTAAGCTTCTCGACACGTCAGTGCCAAAAAGCTAACGTAAAATGAAAACCCGCTACTCAAAATACATGATTACCTTTTATTGCGTCCTTCATAGTGATCTGTGCTAGATGGAATAAATGTATAATGATAATCCAATTCATTGAAGTTTTTTTTATTAGGTTTTAGGTGTTCACTAAACCGATAAGGATTATAACAGTTCCGCTAATTCCGAAAATAAATGATAGTTCTCTCCCTTAGAATAGACCAGCATATTTCTACATGGAGCATACATAGATGGCTTATTTGAGGAAAAGCTACTGTTATAATATACAAGCTTCCAATATTTCGTTACTGTCCGATTGCCTTCTACCTTATTTTTTGGTCGATTGTAGATTATGTGTAACTTTATAATAGCACCATAAAGTTTCATATCTTAAGTTCATACGTTCTAAATATCTTTCTCTCTTTATATATGAACTTACGCCCTACTCACACTGCCAAAGTAATCTGTGGATCGGTTCGCAGATTACTTTGGCAGTGTGAGTATCCAGCATCCTGGGGCAATTTCAATATGTGAACTAGAAAAAACGAAGTTTTTTCAGCAGACGGATTGTAGAATCATGCTGTTAAAATCAGTCTACGAAAGTCGGCCGCTGCGAGTATCGACCCTCAACTACCAGAGCCTTTGTTATCGTTCGACTGTTTTGCTCTTTTGGTCTAATTCTTACAACCACTGTTGACCATGATAATAGAATTGAACAGTTATTCATTTAACCAACAGAGGATGAAAGTAAGCCGTTTATTAGAAGCTTCATTTAAATATTGTGTTTTCAGGCAGCTGGCACTTCGTGTTCTGATTTTTGAAAATCAAGCCGGAACCAATTGACCTATTTTCTATAGGTCTACACAACACCTGCTTGGTAATACGGATACCTCTCAACGTATTTCTTACGTATACGAGTACGTTGTCACCTCTTAGTGTAACATCGGCAGATCAAGAAGATTCTTTCTAATAGTGCTTCTTTATGCATGCATTTATGTCTACAAGGCTCCCTCTAATGCTATCCCTGTTATAAATCTTTACTGCAATACTTTCGAACGAAATTATAGCTCCTAAACATGTTCGTTGTGAGTGGAATACCAGCTTAGGAAATTAAATGTTCTACATTTTTTTTTCCCGATAGTAATTCGTTGAAATCTAAATCCTGAGCACTTAGATGCTGTTTTTATGCAAATTACAAAGGTGGGCCTTAAACTGCGTACATTCCGCCAATTCGTGATGAGTGCCATAGTTCAATCTGTCTACCAAAGTAAGGGTTTTGGTACTCGGGCTTATGCCAATAATTTCTTAATACAGAAGCTCTCTATTGTTATGAGTCAAGAGACACGACGAGGGCAGGAGGGCTCGATCCGCGTTACAGGAAAATCCATATTAAGTAAGTTTAAAGGCAAATCTAGCCACAACGACTTTCGTTACGAAATGGCCAAAAAACAAATTACCTAGTCTGCGAAAGGCTTTCAAAGACAGCTCATAAGTAGATACACTAGCGTGTTTTCCATTCATAAGTAAAAATGGAATAGAGTCAAATGTAAACACAACTACACGAAGGGCATTTTGTACTTTTCGACGATGTGTTAAATGTATATCCGTTATACAGTGCCTAGACATCATTCAAGTAGATATTGCCAGCGACATCAGAGAAAACAATGTCGTATTCGTCTGTAGGTAAAAATCGACCTCAAGAAGACAGCGTTGGTAGATACATATTAGCTAACTAATGATAACTGTGTGAATAGGTACATGTGCCATTATTCCTCGAAGCAGTAAGTTGGAAAATCTTGTTTTTTTTTTATAATGTTTTAGTTGCGAAGGGCCGCTCTAGGAAGTAGCTCGCGCAATTAATTGTGCACTAGAAAAAAATCCTAGACGAATGGGAAGGGTCACCGCATCAAGTCTTTCCGCAGTCATCATGTGATGCAAAGTATAACGGGCAGCGATATTTTAGAATATAGTGTTACGTAGAGGAAGAATCAGTGGCGTGAAGATATAGGATGTACCGATGCATAGGTCAATATGAGGAACTGCCATACGCCTAATGTGCGAAGATGATTACGATACGCAAGCATCTCAAAAGCGTTTTTTTTTTTCTCACGTTTACTTTATCCGCTCTATGCCATATGGCAATATTCACTCGGTCGGTTTCACTCGCTAGTGATAGTTGAGACACGACAGTTAAACATCTCTGAATTATATCAACAACTTCTACGTTTACTGTTGCTATAAATCTGATAGCGCTTCGTACGTGTCGTACGTATATACATACAGCAAGGCAATAAATCTAGCAAAGCCCAATTCAACTTCCCTCTAAATGAAGTATATTAATCGATCACATGATTAAGAGATACTTATCAGCAGCGAGGTGTATATACACGCAGTCCCTCCTGCGAGTAAAAGAAAGTTCAGTATTATCGATTCCATAGACGGCAGCTGTTTGCTACCCATCCTTCCTGTTGATGTAAGAACACTTCGCGTGCAGTGTCTACTTTCGTAGCGTACGGACCGATACGGAGTAGTCTATAACTTTGCTTTTGATTAAGTTTTAAATTGATACGATGCAGTTATTATCTCGTTCACTGTCATCTCTGTAGCACTCAAGGTGTTCGGTGAACTGTGGCCCAGACCCAGCAAACAACCATCACGTTCGACAAATTTCTAGTACACTGCTCGATAGGTAATGGAGTAAACTATGAAGTATGTTAGGCATAATTAAAAATTACTATTGCTACCTTCGAAGAAATAGAATATATTGGCCACTCAGTGTTTCACGAAAGTATAGACAAATACCGCGATGATTTAGCCGGCCGTCGTCTCGCGCCGCGAACTGCCTGTTACAACACGTCTTTGATTAAGACCCTTCCAGAACGCCTAGTGGTGATTTTGCTTAATCTCGTAGCAGTTCTGTAACGCGACTTCAGATTCTAGCATATGAATTACATGTACATGCTATCGTGTATTGAGTCATTGGGTTTCAATGATCCAGTAAGTCAGAACGTGACGAGCGGTCATCTTTGAATCTGCGTACATTTCTTCATAGTGCCAGATCATTTTAGCTTCGAGAGACTCCAGGCCAGTTGTCACCAAACATAGCTATATGTCAATAGCAAATAGTTACTATGTGCAACTTGAAACTACAATTATTAAAACAGTTGTATAGAGCATTTTCGAAAACACTAAGTTTCACATATGAGTATCACATATGAGTGCGTGATGTAACTTTTGACGAGCGCAAATCATATACGAGCCCTACTCGTATTATTCATTGCCCCTTTGGTTTTTGCCTCGTTGAATCGGCATGCCGAACAATCTCTCCCTGCGATACGACTCCATGTTCCTCTGCTGAAAACGCATAGCCGTCTGAAAATAAAATTAGTTAACGAATGAATGAATGAGTTCTTCCAATTTCACCAATAAGAGCCAATAGCAAGCATTACGTGTACGGTTTAGTTATTTCTCCGGAAGCTAATTTCAGCGAACCGTAAGGTAAAGCCGCTGACAAACACAATATTTAGCGTTGGAGAAACAACTCGTTTTCTAAAAAACACTAAGGTAAAAAAATCTGTAAAATGATATATTGGCCAATTCAAATGGCCGACTTCGAGTTCTCGAATTCCAGTTTTCCTAGTGATAAGTAGCGTAGCTCGTATCAGCAGTAATCTTTACCAATAAGAAGCTTATGTATATATAAATTATACATAATTTCTAAATAACCGTAACAGACAACGGAAAACGTTGCGCCGAAGTTGTTGAATAAAAATTATCGCACGCTTTCCTTCACTACGAGATTAACAGATATTACATACGCTTCATTTCGACGTCCTGCCTTGAACACTCCGGAGGTTCCGTAGGTGTCGGCCGTGGTAAGGGCCGGAATACGCTCCGGATTAAACGTGCTGTCTCATTTAGTCTGAACGGAGAGAATCATTTGCAAAATCAAATATGTTATTGTTTAAAACGTTAACATTTAATTACACTGATTGAAGGTGCTGATTTGTAAACATCAATTATAGAATCAATGTATTGCACTAATAACCTAGATAGCAAACATCATTTAGTTATATACTAGAGTGTTAGCTAGACCCTGAGAGTGAAAGCATAAATTTAAGCTTTCGCGAGCGTCAAGTTATGTAACTTTCAGTTAACCAATATATATGTAAGTTGTCTAGCTTGTAATTGTTGATTCGCGCAATAGCATAAGTAAACAACGCACAAGCAAACGGCGGATGATTTGCGACTTCTTTCGAACCGCTATTCCTGTCTCGGCGACTACTTGGGGCACAGTTTCTATAAATGCTTCTAGCACAAAATTTAGGGACACAATATTAGGCCTAGATAATAGTGTCCATGGCAGCTTAGTGGGTGACACGTTAGCCTTCTGATGTTAGGCACATGTTGTCTTCTAGGTTCTACGTGGGGCATAAAAAAACACGATTCGTTTTTCCTACCATGAGCTAACCAGCTATCCGGTGGAATGCTTAGCGGCGATGTCGGACGTAAAACTCGAAAAATTAGAAAATCCTCGAAAAACCTAGAGAATAGGCAAGTAAGTTGAGAAAAAACCGAGACTAAAACACATAGAAATAAAGTAGATTATCTTTGCTTGTATAATCAGGGTGATTCGAGAAGAATAATTTTTACTTTTTATATAATAATAATAATAATAATTTATTATCGGATGGGGTTCTCGTATACATTTCATGTGAACCCGAAGTATTTTAACGCACCTCTGCTATTTCTGATCATAGTAAGTGGAAGTTTTCTATTTTTTACAGCCTAAGTGTGGTTTTTGTCTTCTACACAAAGTCGCTGATTGCTAGTGAGCATGAAGTTGAAGCTTAGCCGTTAAGCCTGCGTACACGATCGCTGACCGAGGGACGTCTACTTCAAAACGCCGCTGTGAAGTTACAATATATGCTTGGAACGTTGTACATAACATACTTCATCATCTCTTCAAACAGAACATACAAAGCCGATTGACGGTTTCTGGAATGTCTCAATGCGGTACGTAAAATAAAGAAGTTCAAAGTGCAAGGTCTGTTTATCTGAACTTATATGCAAGCGCCATTTTTAATGCTATATTGGCGTAAATTTCGAGATCAGTTTGCATGTTCGGTTAAACAAGCGGGTGAACCTTCCACTCCATCAGGTATCTCCTGGGTAGAATAAAACTGTTGAACTGGATGAATGAATACTGATATTAGCCGGTCGTGTTGAACCTTCATTATTACATAAACAATAATAATAAATCAACAGAACTTCAGTGACAAGTGAGACAAATACTATCATCACTATCAAAACTTGTGTCTAAGCTTTTTACTCTAGAAAAATATTGCGATCGCTCTGGGATTGATTTTCTCAATATGTGACATAGTCGTCATTTTCCTGTATGTGCTTGATTCATTCAAATCCAGCCATTGCTAGAGCTGTTAAAGGCACTCCAGAATCGTAGAGACAACCAGCGTTGCGCCGAGGGCCTCCAGTTGGCTAAATGTTCTTTAATTCTACATACCGCTTTGAAAAGATATGAGCAATTCAATGGGGGAAACACTAGCTTTTGAGGCGAACTCAAGGTTCGTTCATAGATGAAAATCATATATTCTTATATAATGTGCATATATATAAATACACATGTCCTTTACGGCGTCCGCAGCACGGAATAGAGATCTCTGCCATTAAAAGCTAATTTATTAACATAACTTCAGTATACCTTTCCTTATATGAATTGGCATAATGGCCAACTAGGAATAGATATGTTAGCCTATAGTCTCTCTAGAAGGTCAGAAAAAGATCTATTACTGTGGTCCTTAACGGCATTTCTTAGACGTTACGGATATGAGGAATCGGCGTTGTGGGTTGCAGGTGTAATGTATTGATTTAGGAACAACAAATAGGGGAGCAAACATTTTTTTTATTGACATTAGGTTAGTAATCTAAAAAATAAGGGTGACAATAGAAGACGAGTAATGATGATTGTAAATACCAGAAGTATGAGTCCGGTAATTGGGATTTTCCAAGCGTTGATTGCTGTGCTGAGAACATAAAATTTAAGCTTAATAGTAACCAACGCTAATATTTGAGTGTATTTGCACAATCCTAAAATAATAAACGGTAATTATCAGGGTTAGTTTTACATTTATTTAATATTTGTTCAGTCAGTCTCAATCAGAGATCATCATTACGGGCATTCTATACTCAAATAAGAGAAAAGGCGGCGAAACGATGTCTTGAAAAATGGTACATTTAGGTATTTCCGTTGTATTTTTCGCTAGACTATCCAACAGCGAAGTAAGTTCTCATGCGCAAGTACGGGGCGGCCGATGGGCTATAGTTTGTATAAGAAAATATATTTTCAAGCTTTTAGTCATGGTGAAATTTCGAATCAATCAAGATATGTTTCTCGTCGGACCGTTTTTTGAAAATGGCGCGGCTTTCACAATATGGGCGGGACAATCCACAACATAACGTTAAATCGTTATAGACTATTGCCTTTGAGGTTTCTAACATCGTCTCTTGAGCCTAAATTCTGTATTGGGAGAATCATTGCTGAAATGGCGTATTTCAAAATGATACTGGAAACGTAACTGAAAATCTGACCTGTAGAAAAGCCTGATTGATTTACTTATGGCTGTTTTGTTTAGTTGCTTATTGAATGCTTAATAACCCATCGGTCAATGCACATTGCTTGCTGTTTTTCTTTTACAGTACACTGTTTGTGATTGGCACAATTTTTACAGCCTCAAAGACGAACACTGCCAACATTTGCATTCACATTGTCTGAGTTGAATTTGCAGCATTTGAAAAAACCTATTACTACAATATAAGAAAATATAAACAAGCTACTATTTATCATATTATGCCTTGGGAACTAATTAATTACTTGCAATCGCTATTACTGTAACTTCTAGCTTGAATGTACATATAAGAGTTTCATAAAAATATTTTCATAGAAAACGAAAGAATATATTTTTCGCCTCTCATTTGACAACAAAAACTATGTTGAATAGTGCTGAAAAAAGAACATCAAAATTATACTTTTTACGGAAACACGCTAATGCCTGTTGACAGACTCGCTATACGGCTAAGCTAGAAGCAGCTCCCAATCAAAATCATGCAATCATCATATAGCGAGATTTGAGTAAAGTGCCCCATATGAATAACCACGCGGGAGTGGTTTTCTGCCTCTCCTTTTTTCCTCGGAGCTTCAGGAACGTGCAGTTTTGTTGCTGTTGTTGTTGTCGTGCATGTCTGTGAGCGTGCCGTGCGTTAGCGCGTATGCTTCCGACGTGTCGTCGGTGTGGCCGAGGTGACTAGGTGACGTGCATGAACGACGTTAGGATGGATGTCACTGATCATCATCATCATCATCATCACTGGCAAAGTTTGATGTCATTTATTCAGTTGCGCCGTACCTCGGATATCGGGCCGTCCTGGAGGGCAGACGACACCTGCGTCACCAGATGGCTCTTACAGGATTCTAAACTAACCAATTTTTTTCTTTATTTCGATAATTAAGTTCATCGTTCGGACGAATATAGTAAGTGAGCACCAATCTCAATAAATGCGATACAGAACGTATTGAAATAGCCGAGTTAACTCGACTGCATAAACGTTCAAACAAATAACCGTTATAACAAGTTTCGTTTTTGCATGATGCTAGCTCCTATTTTGCATACATCTGCTGCTTTACGGAACTCGTATTAGCAAGATATAATAAGAAGGGTTGTGTAGAGAATTGACCAAAGGCAACTCTACCGCCGCCCAGAAGGTCGGAAAGTACCACAAATAAATTCTAGTTTTTTTTTTTTCGAAAATATTCAGGATCCAGATAAATGCTTGAAAAAGTTGATAAAGACAGCATACTAAAGGACGCTTTCCATATCGGTGATATGGACGAAAAGTGTACACAGATATATCGTACACTAAACAATACAGGGGAGTAACACGTGTTGTTAGAGTAAGAACATCCAAGAGCCAAATGTCTGCACAACTAATAGCTACATTAATTATAGTAAACACGTTTCCTGGAACCGAGCTCGTTAACCGATAACAAATAATTGTATTAGCCTATAAACAACAAATAGGCAATCTTAAAAAACCGAGTCTATTTGAAATACGAAAACAAAGTATATGGCACAATGACATAAATTTGTAATAAAATTAGGTGTGCAGTGCATAACGAAAGTGGTGCATTTCTCGGACATATGAAATTCGTCCTAGGTTCCGCGGCCGGCTAAATTGCGTGTCAAGGTCGATAGCATTATGCAACAAGCTTGTGCGAAACAAACGTAAATTCATTCTGCAGGCTCAAAGCAACACAGTAGTGTATTACTTTCTAACAGTCAAAAATTAGAAGGTGAAACGAAGGACGGTTAGAATATTTCAGTATCTTCTATTGTCCACGCCGTTTTAGCGGGACAAAAAGGTTAACTTATAAACGGGCGCTAGCCACGATATTTCGCCAAGCGACTAAGATAATAAATATTAATAACATATAATAATATAATAAGAAATAATAATAGCTAAACAAGTATAACATAATAAGCATATAGAGCAAATATACCGCATAGAGGCAGCGTTAGCGAAGTGGTTTGCTCATTTCAAGATTTCAAACGATCAACCGACAAAAGTGCTAGGACACGCTTTATTCTAATTATTTAAATGATTTCTATTTAATAGACCTTTCGGGTTAATGCTATTCTGATAAACGTTTCAGACCTGGGTTCTACTTATCTTCTTCATAGGTATCAAAGCTTTCCGTATTACGTAGAACGGTTTGCAGGTCGGAACAATATTCGTCACAGATATAGCTGATAAAGGCTATGGTTCTGCTAGCTTACTGCTATCCGGCTTAGCTTACTTTGCTTCTTCTAGTGTTCTTCCCAAATACAAAATCACTGAATGTCGTACGTGTTGTCACCAACCGACAACAATTGCTTTTGTATTATTTTGGCAATAGTTTGAGCGGCGGGCCACCTGCACGTAAGATGAGTCAACGCACTGTTTTTATCATCTAGACATTCCCAACTGTCCAAACAATAATGACAAGCCGAAAATGCTATGAAACGGTGAGTATGGTAATCCTTCTTAGTTCCAATTTTTATTCGAACTGGGTACTGGAACTGGAAATGGTGAATGTTCAGGGGAACTTTGAAATTCAAAGTTCCCCTGTACGTTCACCATCTGTGGCACCAGCAATAAGCTTGAAGTTGTTTACTCGTTACGGTCCATTAACCAACCAGGACATGCAGCCTCCTGCCATTAGTGTGCCATAACTGCCAAATTGTGTCTAGCTTTACGTTGAGTGCTAGTTTTTTCATACTGATTTATAGAAGTACAACCGTTTCGGTCTGTGACAATTTTGATTTGTGTTTATCAAATAACAATCACTTACCGCCGAAGCGAAACCCGCTCATAGACCTGCCACTTTCACGAGCCTATGGCGCCAACGGCATTTAGCGTAACATTGCAACAAACTAAGCAAAGAGGTAAGAGTCTTATCATACGACGGACGAGCATAACTCCGAAAAATTATGTTTGGCGAACACCTGAAAACTTGGTCAGCGGACCGATGGCAACGGTAATGGCCAACCCTGAACTTGTTCTAATAGCAACGTACGTGAAACAAGACGAAACGCGATTCATCTAACCTAAGGATTCTTCTTCTAAATGTGTGATTTGAGTTTCTGATGGCCGAGGTCATAAAGCTACTGGAATCGGGCTAAGAGCTGTGACTGGGATGGCATTCAACAGACGGCTTTTGATGACTGTTTCTTTCGACGCCTTCTAGTAGATACGATTTGGACTGGGTCGCCCAAGGGAAATGCTACTCATGAGCACAATTGCATGAATATTGAAGATGACTACTTCTACTAAGAAGATCTACTGTTTGCACTTTGGATGCGTGCTTCAATGCCAATGCTAACGAACGTGAAACATAACGCTATTTAAATGACCTAATAAGAGGCTAGTATAACATAGGCTTAGTGCACTCCTACTGGCAAAAGGAATGAGTCTTCAGTGCGTTTTTTGACTGTACAATTGGTCGAGAGATGGGTAGGAAGCGTTGACCTTTCACCTTCTCATAAACAAATGCCCACGGTGTTTCCTATGGATAAACGTTACTACTGTCACGCATAATTGAGCAATTTATTTAACAAGCACAAAATCATAACCTAATTTACTCAAAGAACACCAAAAGTCAAACATTAGAATGACAGACGCTTATTTCCCTAAAATGTCAGGCATTTTGGATGGCGATTCGAGCGAGATTTATGATATGAGCCTAGTGGGTTATTGCAGCAGTCTGCTGCACTCTAGTAGGTAAGTATTTGCAGCATTAACGAATTTTTGTCAACGCGCCATTCGGAAACAAAAAGTTGGCCTATTAAATTTGTTATTAGGGAACAAATTAGCGATCTTAAGAAACAGATCATAGAGAAGTGAGAACAGATCGCCCGCTAATTGCTTATCAATCTGAACGAGCAGACAGAAATATCGAGAACGGGAACATCATTAGTTTTGCTCTAAAGGACCATTTCAACATCTTTATTAAATAGCTATTATCAACATTAGATGCATGGTCTTATTATCTGTACCATAACTCCTGCTGTCCAAACGTTTTTTGTACGTCCCTTAAAATGATAAGCCAGCTAACACTTTACCTTTCGACTGTAACAACTGAATGCTAAATGAGTCTCGATTCTGCTTTTGCACTTATTTTCTTTTTACTAACCTCAATTTGGCGTTCGGCAGAGGAATCGGCTCCTCGTTCTCGATTTCGCTTTCTCGGATAGACATTGCTAAGGTCTTGAATAAAGTTCGCCGAACGCTACAAAATAAAATGATGGCAATCAAGAATCTTAAAAGATAGATTTAGCTTAGAAAAGGGTTCAAAATAAGATTCAAACTCAGAATGTTAATAGTGACATGATACGGTAGCGATGGATTCAAAATGTCTAATGAAAGTCGATCATATGCATGTAATTTTGTTGTGGGAAATTAATTAAATTTAGCAAAAAAGAAAAAATTATATATTGTTAACATTCATATTCGAGGAGTTTTTTTTTAAAATTTATTTATTTTTTACTTTTTTTTCTATTTTCCACCGTTTTTTTTGTTTTATTGTAATTTATGTTTACCGTGTTGAGACATTGAACAAAGGTTTTTTTTTTTTGTAAAATTTGTAAAAAAAAAAAGATTAACTCCGACCAGAGATGAACTCAATATTGTGAAATGTCGAACTTACATTTCAAAAACGAGGTCCAACAGTAATGCTGTAATTGGTATCAAAATGAGACCAAACCAGAACAGTCCCGATGATAAAACCATCCGATCCTGTACATAAATATCGAAGAAATCGACAAATTGATACACAAACATTATAATTTCGCTTTATTAACGAGGACCTTCAGAGCGCTCAATGTCAACTCTTTTCGAGTTGTCTCAACGTTCTAACTATATTCTTTGCTTTAATTTCATTGGCAGCTCCTGTTGTGCATAGGCGAAATCTCTTGAAAAACGTATTCGTACAAAAGGATGCACTAAAGACTGCGGCTAATTACAGCTTATATCTGCGATCGTCGATTCGGATCGTTAGGACGGATCGTTTGATCATTTCTAACGGCTCGTCCGTGTCCTCCGATCGAGTTCATAAATTTGCGCACTAAATTCCGGATCTAATAACGAAATATATTCTAAATTATAAAGCTACGTACAATTCCGGCCATCTCGGCACCGACCGGTAGATAAGGCCACACGTTAGCGTATGTCACTAAGGATAGGAACCACAACAGAATTGAACCCCAAATAGCCGCGTGAACAGGCCAAGACCAGGCGTTTATTGTTAGGCCAGCTTTCAATGAAACCGTCACCTAAAATTTATGTAGATCAATAGATTTACGTTAGCCTTTTTCGAACTGCTAACACACCACAGCCTTCGTGTACGAGAATCAATAGAAGAAACACGCTGACCTTTTTAGGCTTGATACCACATGTAAATGCATAGGAACGCTAAAATGCACCGGCAAGAAAATGTTTCTAGTTTCGCTGATATTAGTGTGTATGTTTTAACTAATGAAGGACCATCTTGATAAAAGAAAATTAAGTGAAGTGAATTCTCTATAGGTTAAGACAGAACGGCGCGCAGTTATCACTAGCTACCTATGAAATGATTCATTACAAACGCAATATTGTTTTGCATCGCTGGGTTCGGGTACTCACGACAACATATGTGTAACATATATTTCCCATGACGAGGTATCCACCGTCACGTCCATGAGACCATGCTACATCTTGATCGATCAAAAACATGGTCATAAAGTACAGCACCAACTGAAATGCATACCGATTTATTTCGTAAACGTCTCTCCTATGTGTCATTTGTGGATGGAGTATATAGGTCCTTTCCAATTTGCACCTCCGTCTGTCTGTCTGTCTGTCTGTCTGTCTGTGCCTGCCTGCCTGCCTGCCTGTGCCTGTCTGCCTGTTGCTGCCTGCCTGTCTGTCTGCTGTCTGGTCTGTCTGCTGCCTGCCTGCCTGCCTGTGCCTGTCTGCCTGTCTGCCTGCCTGCCTGTGCCTGTCTGCCTGTCTGTCTGTCTGTCTGTCTGCTGCTGCCTGTCTGTCTGTCTGCCTGCCTGCCTGTCTGTCTGTCTGTCTGTCTGTCTGTCTGCCTGTCTGTCTGAAATAAGGCAGCATTAAAGCTCCGCCCACAAAAGCAGTACAGGCGAAGTGCACGTACAACGATCATACCGTCAAATTCCGTCAAAGTATTGTTAGCCGAAAACACCACTTCAAAATTATACTGAATCCTAAAAATGCAAAATAATGTATTAAAAAATTCTATTATTCGCGTTTTTACTATTACGGAATTATTTACAGAGCTTCAATAAGAAACATCTGAAAAACAAACATATGTATAGTACACATCAATGAAAATGCTTACCGAATGATAGACAGAGTCGATAATCCACACCCAAAATGTTTTCCTATTAAGGCTGACCTCGCTCTGGTCGGGCCGATAAAGCTCGGGAAAAGCCATACGAGTTTCAGCCGAGCAGGTCCTATCGAACAGTCCGATGGCTAACGGCGGTAACGCTGTGAAGATTACATTGTACATTGCTATCGTCCATCTGCAACAAGGGTAACAACGTAAATTACTATTACGTATTATCTATTAACATTGTATGTCATTTTTTCTTTAGGAAAGTCAGTCAACGTTCACTATATAAATGGGTATAGTCATGAAACTATCCTCGATAACGACATGTAGGGAGCGGGCTATCCATTATGAAAGCGAAAAAGGTCGGATTGTCAAATAAAGAAAAAGTTCGTAACATCGTACAGCTGGCAAAACTACTAGAACTAATAAGGTAACATAAATGAAATTATATAATTTACTAAATTGCGGGATACTAAATACCTTTCAAAAAGTGTTTGCCCAGACCAGCCCGAGTAAATGGCGAACCACATCTCAATAACATACAAACAGACGTTCTTATGAAACGAGTAGAGGATCAGCTTGCACAGACGATTATGATTCCAGGCACCATGCACGAAGAGCAGTCTCCTCAGGAAACGAAACTGTGCAATTGAATAATCTGACGAACATGCAGCCTAACACGAATTATAATAGGTCAAAAGAGAATTCAGCAAGAGTCGTCAATGAAAGCACTTGTTAGTATATTCATTATAGTTTTTATTATAAATATTTTTCCTAAAGTCATGTTGATCTTTATGTGAAATATTCGTATTCCTATCCTAAACCCTCGTTAATCGACAGCATCTGGACTTAATCTATGGATCACGCTGATACTGTTACTAGGCGAGCCGTCGAAAATTACAGTCACTAACTGCCCGCCCAATAGAAATTGTCCAGTTACAAAACGAGCTTCGACACAACAAAGTAGCGGCTTGTAGCTGAACCCTTCAGATGAGACTTCTGTTCTATAAATAAAAATTAGCTCAAAGCTCTTTACTCTAGACCAGCTAGATCTGACGACTGCACGTACCTGTAGGCCCTCCATACCGGAGATGCCAACCCCAACATGCGCTGCCTGTATCATTGCAACATCATTAGCTCCGTCTCCAATTGCCAATGTAACCGTATGAGGGCGCTGAGTTCGTACCATCTGCACAATTTCAGCTTTTTGCATGGGTGACACACGACAGCATATCACGCACTTAACCGCAAGGGCCAATTCGACGAACTCCAAGAGCACGCTCGCGTCCAGCGCATGCTGAAATGCAACAGTTATTAACACGCTCAATAGACCTCATATCAACATGACTGTTCTTGACGGCTCCTAAATCATGTTACGCGTCATCGAACGTTACATATAAGCGCTGCTAACATAGTGCAGTATATTTTCAATGTCGTATCGCACCTTCAGAGACTTCCCGTCAATGATAAGGCCAAGCTGATTTTCAGGGGCTGCCAGTTGCGCTCGTCGTTCGTTAAGATGTTTACTCACGCAGGCTCGTGTATTATCGAGGGTCTGAATACCAAAAAAAAAAACATCACGCATGATGAAAAACGCACGTTTTCGGTTAACTGCAATGCTTTGTGGTTGGCAATACTTTAGATGTGTTCATCTAAAATGCTAAATATTAAGTGGGTACCTTCCTGAAAGCTGGTTGTATAGTGTATCCGCACAAAATAGCGTGTCGTCACTTTTTTCCTATAGTTGAGAAAATCTATATTTTTTTGTAAAGATACCGAGCTAATTCGTTTGTCCTATGCTGAAACCACTAGTGGATTTCAAATGGCACTTCTAAACAAATTTTACCCTTTTTCTGCGGTAGCAGTGCGTGCTGAAATTGACTTAGGCTACTCAACAAAAGATTTTATCCTCATCGACATATTCATTTGGACATTTTAGAGTGCTTAGGTCGTGAGTTTCCTCACGATCTTTGTCGGATTTTTTGACGGCACCTAGCAGTTTTTAGAACGATGTGTAACAAGAAGAAGAAGAAGAAGATTTAAGCCATTTCGCATTAACAGCTTACCTTGCTTGCACCTGCCTTTTTCTAGTTAACTTTTAAAGTACTTACATTGTAAGCTATCCAAGGTATTTCATCAGATTTGACAAAACCGTGATAGTTTTCACAAAGGATATGCCTCCTTCACATGTATTCTACCTGTTTACATCTGGTCTCCCATGTTTTGTATATTCTTTGCTTCACAAGTAATTACCGCCTCATTGACGACGACCAGCTCCATTTCTGCTGAGAGAAGTCTCGTGGAGTAGCCAATATTGATTGCAGTCTCTTGTTTGTCTCCGGTTAGCACCCATACCTGGTGAACGTTCAGTAGTAATTTTTGGCGTAAGTGTGAGCGATTTTTTTTTACTATGTCAGCGGCAAGAAGTGAATCCGCGGCAAATACGTGGCATCACTTATCGAGTATCGATAAATCGTTAATTGAGAACTGACTGCTTTGTAAGTGTATATGAATAAAAGATTTACGATTGAACACTTCAAATGATTTCCTTCTAATGAGAGGATGATGACTTTGTTTAGTCAAAGGTCCCGGCAGACCATGTTTCTAAAAGCGTATTAGACAAAATAGTCGATTCGCAGAAAAGACACGAATAGATGCGACATACACTTGTAAATCTCTTAACGAAGCTACTGTTAATATTGGCAATTAGTACTGTCAGAACTCACCTTAATGTTAGCTCTTAAAAGATCCGCGATGGTGTCCGGTACACCATCTTGTAGACGATCTTCAATGGCAGATGCTCCGTACAGCATTAGATTCTGCTCAATCCGATTCGCCACCTGTTCTCGTAAAAGTTCGTAGGTATATATGATAACTTTGCTTTGACTTCCGCATCGACGCAGCAACGATTAGATACACCCATGTACGCTCGGTCACTATTGTTAACTTTCCTCCATCAGCAGGGCAGGCGCAAGGAAGCTTCTAATACTATCAAACCTAAGGTTCCGTTCCGATTAAGCGAGTAATGCTTCTAAAAGTCTATCTTAAAGTTACCGGTTTGCGATATTGAACCTGAAACTCTTCATTTCGATTTTCCAGTGACCAGTCTGATATCAACATATAAAATAACAAAAAAAAATAACGGCCTATCTCCAATATTCACCACTGTGGGTTACAGTAGCAGCACGTACCATAAGTCTGAGGCCTCACTTCTTATAAATAACGATATACTTCAAGCAAAGTGTCACGAGAATTACCTCTGCAACGCGCTCTTCTCGTTGATGGATAGCTGATGAGGCCTCTTCAAATTGGACCCGCCATTCCTCGTAAAAGGCAGGACTCACCTAAAACAGTACTCCGAAAGAGAAGTAAGTAAAGACAGAGTGCCCCACCGCACGTTCAATTACCACACATACTAGCCGTTACCTCGTGACAGGCGCGTTGTGCAATTTTATTAATACGTAAGACCGCACTATATTTTATACTGACCAATATTGCGCTTATTATTTAATTTCGTTCGTCTGTGTCGAAGATAAGATGCAACTGCTTCGATGGTAGCATTCGCGCAAACGAAAAGAGGCACTCACTTCAGCTGCGGCAAGACACAGCGTTCGGAGTCCATCAGATGCGAACACCTCTAGATGTTCGAGGACAGTCGCCGTCAGGTGGGGATCGTTATTGGCCGATAGTCGTTCATATATCATCGTGTCCGCGCCCTACAATCAACAACAAAAACAATAATAGACTACATATTGACTACGTCTATAGACTAAAGAACAATTGTTATAGAAACTAAGGAAATCGAATATATATGGGCCGCAAAAGCGCGGGATGAGCCTATATTTTAATGACAATAAAATAGAAAACAATTTTGACAGCTAGTCGTTGCGAAGTAAAGGTCGACTTCGTTATCTGGCTTATCTAATTGAAGTCCGTTGTGTGTAATCATTAACCTTGCACATGATGAGTATTCGTCCATCAGGAGCTCGCACCACAATACTCATTCGCTTCCTTGCCGATGTAAAATCAATTACATTAAGAATTTGATAGATCCGCGGTTCACCGAAAATCTCGATGGCACATTCTGCTGGTTTTCTCCGAGTAAAGACAAAGCCCAAGTGGGCAGCACCCTGTCGCAAGGAAAAAACACGCAAAAAAATATTCCATATGAGGAAGTACGCACCACTGCAGAATGCCGTAACAGGTGCAGGTACTCTTTGTGAATTGCTAAGTGTCATTCATTGAGGTGTTTTTTTTTTTTCTAAATTTTACGGCTGGGCTTTACATCGAAATTTGATACTACAACGTATCTTATTTATTTGTACATCTCGTGGTTTCTAACTAGATAAGAGGTATTTGTATTGAAGTGGCCCACATAAGTAAAACAGTCTAATTGTACCTTGACCAGAGCTCCTTCGTCCGGAGAAGCTGCTTGATATGTGATTTCTTCGTCGCATTCGCTCGCTGAAATTTCTGGAACGACCGTGTGACATACGGCCACTAGTGTAAAGAAATCCATTATCTGAAAAAATATATGTTAGTATAAGCTGTTAAGGTAATAGAGCTTGAAAAACAACTAGAATGAGTTCTAATCAGCCTCACAAATAAAAGGTTTTTATTGAAGAATCAATTTGGCAGCTGTCACAGTTTTTTTTACAAGAAGATGTTTCAGGGCGCCAAGCCTAGATGACTGACTGCACGTCTCATAACGTTAACTTCCACTACGGTCGTAGTGAACACGGCAAGCATAAGAATACGTTTCCAGGGTTTGTGTCACGAGGTTCAGATTAAATGTATGAATCATATGTGGCCAGAGAATATAATTACTGTATTCCGATAGTACCTTATTACTACCTTGTTTCGTTACTCCCTGAGAAAGGTCAACAGCTCGAAAACGTGTCTTTCTCAGGTTTTAGATAGTTTTGTGTTCATTCAAATACATCTTAAGCTAGCCAAGGAGATATTTCAGATCTATATCACGTAATTATTGGTATCTGCATATTTTATAAGCACCATTATTAATAACAGCATCAATGTGTTTACGTCTAAATGACTTGAACCATTTCTTCACCTGTTTGGCTAACGCGTCCTTCTTAGTGAGAAGAGCGCGGATTTCCTGAGGATCAACTCCGGTTTCCGCGTGTCCAAACATTCGTCCGCCAATGGAACATCTCTTGAACTCCATAATATTGCACGTCAGCGTACCCGTCTTATCGGAGAAAATATATTTCACCTAGAAACGAAGATCAGGGTGATAATGTTGCCAGGTAATAGGTTATCAACAATAAAGCCACCGATTTTTAAGAAGAGAGCGTTTGCAAGAGTCAGTGTTTGCTGTCAACGACAAGTCCGCAGTATATTTATTTAGGCCAAAAATTCACACTAAAATTTCGACGTAACTTCCGTGCCTATTTTGAAAGGAGCCTTATTGAAAGGAGTCTTACTTCTGCTGCAGTTCGTAGCGATAACGCTGGGCTGATGTCGAGCAGACACCGTACACGCATTTACAGAGTTCATCCAATGTATCATTTTAATGTTTGAGAGAGTTTTTAGAAGATCTATTTGGATTAGAGCAACTACTGCCTTCTGAAATCTCATTTGTACTACACATAAATCCCACTGGGCTAAATTATCTAGAGGAGCTCATTTGGGTTAGGATTCGCGCGATTATCGTTCATTACCTCTCCGAGTTCTTCATTCAGATTCGAAGTACGGGCATTAGCGTGAGTGTCTGTTTCAGCGTGATACATTTCCATATCCTGATTAATAAACGACGCTTGAATATAACGAACCACTTCTAGCGCAACCTGACAAAACACGCGAAATTGATAAAAACGGACCCAATTATTACTGCAGTCGCAATGACTCAATAGGATGTAAATCCATTTACTCAATACTGCCCGCTTTTCGAAAAACCTTAGCAATAAATTTTGATCCATAAAATGGACACTATAGATACGGTTAAATAACATACGCTATTTACCGTATCTGGAATAAATAACTTTCTAAACAAATAGTTTTAGACGGAAAACGATGGATAACAGCTCACTGTTTGACAACAAGGTTACATAAAGCTCGACAAATGTTTCAGGATACTTTTCTATGTAGCTTAAATTGAATAACCCTTTAAAAAAAAACCGAAAAAAAAAACGTGTGGTTTGATTTATTGTCATCGATAAGATTTTGTTCTCGGACACTTTGATTTAAGGACCTTGTCAGCACAAAGATGCACTGATTGGAAATGCGGCAAAAAAAGCAGGCTATGAACGCAAACTAGATAAGCACAGACGTAGAAATGACAGACATATGATTACAGGCATAACTGTCTTAAAAGAACAGTTATCTCACAAATAACCGACACTTCTCTGTAAAAGACCGCTATTCGCTAAGGTCCCTACTAGCATCATACTAAATACTCACTGCAATCTGATTCATATAACGATCAAGAATGACGATTCTTTTATGGCGTTTCATAGCATGGCTTAGAAACAATACTGCTAAGTGCTTGATTATATAGAGGAGCGCATATATTCAATTTTGCCGTCTTACCTGTAGGGATATCGGAATGAGATTGTTGTATAAGATGACGAATGTTAAAAAATCAAGTCCGAAGTTTGCGTATTTCGCCTTGGGAACGTACCAGACGACATCTACGGCCCCATGGTTCCATATTTGCGAAGAGATCGCCGATATAAGCGAGATTACCACGAGAATGATGCCTGTAAAGAAAACTTTATTGCTATGCAGAATGCTACTGAGATTGGCTTTACCGAAATGCATTATGATGCATATTTACTGCTACATATTTGTTGCAATAATTACCCATCATGGTGATTTGTTTATTGGTGATTTTATCGACTGTTGACCGTTTAAGGGGTGGCGCAGTTGAATTCATCATAAGTTTGGATTCATGGCCTGTGTAGATGACGAACCCATACACCCAATCTGTATTCTTGAGTATAGCTCCACGAAGAAGAACTGCGTCATTGTTCACAGCAATAGTCTTCGTCGAAGTAATACCTTTAACAACCTAAATGAAAATGAAAAATATTGCTCTTTTAATGTTTCGTCATAACAAGACACAAACGCAGTTGGTAAAAGACCCGAAATTGTGCAAGTCTCTACGGCAAATATAGAAAATGTTGTCCTCATAACAGTTACAAGTTGCACCTATTTATAGAAAGTTTACGCTGTAATGCCAATGGCTATTATAACCTCTTACCTGTTCTAAGCAGATGCTACCGTTGAACTCGTACAAATGCCGATTGGGGAGCTCACAATTGACCGTTCCTCGCAGTTCGTCTAATTTCTCAGATTCCATCCAGGTTGGCAGATCCTTGGGAGCTTGACGAACCTAACAAAAAAAAGTGCCACCAAGAACTCAAATGACTGACCTAGGACAGATACGGCGATAGAGCCCCGCTTACGTTTCTCGTACTTGACGTGATCTTTCCAGTTCGGATGCATACGACTATGTCCGCATAGACTTGTTTCACCTTTATTGACAAAAGGTGCACAATAGATGTATCAGAATAATACACCGAATCTTTTTTTTTTTACCAATAGTTGGAGAACCTCCATCTCGTAATTGTTATTGCAGTATATGTGCCACGTCCGCCAGCAGGAGTCGCGAAAACGATCTCTAAATTCTTCTCGACGCATCTTATCTCTGCCATAGATAGCCTACCACAGACCTCCTCTTTTTTTATTTTTATTTTATGAATAAAGCAAATATATTTTTTGATATTTTCGAATATGCGTAAATGGAGCACAAGCCTATTTTTGCTAAAGGATATGTACATTACAGTGTGACTTGACGAGTTCTTATGGTGCTCTGAAGGTAAATCGCTAAACCAAAGAGTCCGAAATAAAGATTCTGAGAAACATACACACATATAGTAGGTATTTAATCAACTTTCAGGGTTAGTTGCGCAGCACGAAATTATCTTCGTAAAGTTTTAGTTTATAAAAATGGTGGTAATAAAAACATCAAAAAACATAAACTGTGCACAAAGCATGTGGTGTGTAAAATTGACATACCGTATTTCATCGAGTGCATGATAGCTTAACAACAATTGAAAAGTGTGTACTACGAAGCAGGAGGACCATGTGATCGAACTCCCAATCGAAAAGGTAGGTTTGTTTCCCATAACGTCCTCCAAAGCAATTCAAAATACTGTGCGCGCGGAAAATTACGCTTTGCCTCCGACTCAATGAAGCTGGGCTCAAGGGCAGTAGACTTGCCAAGAAACCTTAGCTCGAATGCAACGAGCCTGTCCTTATTAGGCAAACCAAGTAAAAAATGGACCATTGAGAATTAGGGCAAGTCTGATTTTTAGACGAGCCTCGTTTTCGAACTCTCAGATAAACGTCCATGGTGCCTTTAGACGTGTTGGCCAACGATTGTGCGGAAGCTCCGTGACGCCTAAGGTCAAACACACATAAAAAAAAAAGTCACGATATATGACATAGGCACTGAGATAATGCACTTCGCACAGGCAATATAAAAGCAGCAGGAATGTACTGAGTTTATCGAAAGTAAGATGCTGCTTCACGTACGGGAATGGTTCCCTGATGGTGACTTCGTCTTTCTGCGTGATAGAGCGCTTTGCAGATTGGAATATGTCTAGACTATTCGCTGCCAATGAAGTTCAGGCGCTGCCATGCTCTGTGAACTCGGCAGACCACAATACCGTAGAAAATGTCTGGAAGACTGTAAACGCTCCGGATCTACGTAAAAAATCAGTACTGTGTAACAACAACATCCACTCTTAGCTGAAGAGCGAACAACTGCATCAGAGGCATGCCCTAAAGAATGGTGCAAGTTATTGCTGCAAGAGGCAGTGGCAAAATATTGATGCTCGTAACCATGCAGCACTTTGAAACTGTTTATCAGCTTCTTTGTCAATATGTAGGGCACCACTGTAAACTAGAATAATGCTTTTTTACATAAGCAAAAATTGTTTGAAAACCCCCCCCCGTTTAGTGCTCGACAATTGTTCGTGTTTAATTGAGAACCTACTGTATATACAAGACTGGAAATAAATGTCTAGCTTCGGAATAACTTCACTATACCTTTAGATTCGTCTCCCCATCAAGGTTAGCTGTTTCGATATAACACATACGCTCCGGTTCGCTCGACGATATCAGGATCTAAGATAGAAAATAGACTTATTATTACGTAATTCATATTCATCTGTTCACAAAGAGCTTAGTTAAAAGAATACGTGTGTATCATAAATATAAAGATATCATATAAAAAAATAATATACTGACAGTTTTACAGCTTCGCTATAACTATAAGGGAATCAACATTTCGTATTTGTAAAATATTGTATATATTTAACTTAGGTACAACGATCCTGTAATACTGTAACCTATTTGATTAATTATATATATATATATATATATATATATATATATATATATATATATATATATATATATATAGGAGAATAAAGTGAAATAGGGTTGGTCTCGACACGTTTGAAAATCAAACAAATTGATTACTTTCCATAGTTATTTCGCATCATCAGCCGCTCAAAGGCCACACCTCTTACGGCGCTTACATTGAATTTATATGCAAGAACTTGTATGCCGTCTTCGAAGTGATTTGTTTGCTACTAATATCTCGTACCATGTCTGCGGGAAAGAAACGTCCAGAGTCAATTTTAAGGAAGTCTCCGACTACTACATCAGCCCACTGCAGCTCCACCCAGGCTCGACGAGATCCCGGCGGCGCTGATGGAGAAGATCGTAGAGCCAGCACCTGTAATCGCATAGGTTTAATATTTAGCTAAGGAAGGGATCACAATGAAACCTTGAGTTTCAAGTCATTTATTCTTTAGCATTCAGTGCAGTACAGTTCAGGGGGCATGACAACGCTGAATCTACAAGGCCTTACCTTGCTTCGGTTGATCGAGCGATCTTCCACATGCCGTTTAAAATCTTCAATTATCTCTTTTAGAGCGGACACCATGAGTATAAAAGCCAACGGGACAGCCGTTGTAAACCTTCCTGTCGGTGATACCCCTGGTATTTGCTGTCAAGTTATAAACGCACCGTGATGAACATATTACACATATTTCAAAGTAAGACTTAATTCAGGCTTTTATTTTACCTACGATCAAACGCTAATCTTAGAGATTTATTCCGCCGCAATGACTAACTTCTTTACTTGAGCTTTTTAGAAATTTCATTTGTTAATGCTAAAGCTCCAAGCAACCAGTGGATACAAAAGGTGCAACAAGACACACAAGGCCAAATAGAGACTAACCGTTAAAGTCTATTAACAATTAGTATTCTACTCTTGAAAATGGCTGTCGATTACTAACAAATAACAACCCAGACGTATCGAGAATAACTTTCTATGCCATTTCGATAAATCTGTAAGCTCTTTGAACTTTATTAAAGATCTTTGGGCCAGTTTGTCGCCCGGAAACCCTTGGTTTTTTTTCGAAGTGCCATGAAAGTTGACGCTAACGTAAACGGATGCGTGCAATCGTGGCGAAAACGAGACTAACCGTTGAAACTTGTTTGGATGTGTAAACTGGCCATTTGTATTCTTCTCTCTCGAATAGCTATTAATTTCTGTAGCGAAAATTACAGCTGTACAAAAAATGGCTTTATGAACCATTTTTTTTCATTCAAATCGAAAACACAAAGCGTAAAAGGCATATTTTTCCAAAGAATTAAATAATACGAGTGAAAAAATAAAAATACATATGCTATTCATCTATCTATAACATAGTTAACTGTCTCGTTGGATTGTTGCTTACCTGCATAATAGCAACAAATAAGAAAAATATATTTGAGTATCGTCGAAACTGCTCGAAAAGGAACTTTGGTAGAAAAGTGTACATTGTGTACTTGGCAGTTGAGATGACGTTATTTCGGAAGCGGGATTGATGAGGCAACGGGGGCTTGGCCCCTGATAGTGGCGGCGTGACGATAGAGGCCGCATACCCGTTGATCGGGATCGAACGGTGCGAATCCACGCGATCACTCATTCCTACCTCACAGCCATCTGAAAAGAAAGAAACAGCAAGAGACAACGAAGATATCAATATAAAAGTAACACTGCAAAAAATATAGAAACGAAATGGCATGCTTCGTAGAATTGTACCTGCATCGTGAAGATGATGGTAATCCAATGAATCTTCTCTATCTATTATTAACCAGGAAATTTCAAATTATATTTTCAATGGAAACTAAGGTTACCCAGATTGACGCAAACGACCAAGAATCACACTGGTCAACGTGACACTATACCTTTCACACACGCGCTTTTATATAATATGTCCTATTGTTTTTGAATCAAATCTTCAAAAAAATTTCGATGTGTTTCTGTAGTTTTACTTGGTTATGTGCGGTATAATACTACAACCATTAAGTAATTAACCTTCTGTACTTGTGAGTTAAGGATGCCGAATATTTTTAATTATCAGAACATTTTCCTATGTATATACATATATATATATTTATTTATTACAAACTAAATGATTTCCGCCTGATTTGTCAAGCCTCGGGGCACGTGACATAACTTTTTAGGATTACTTATACCTATATCACGCATAACAATGGACGCAAAGCCAAGATTCTAGGTGGCTATCCGTTCCAAATAGTGCTAGAAGGTACTACAACTTCAGCTTCATCGTCATTTATTTCATATAACTTATTCGAATACTCGAGTTCGTGGCCTTTCGGACAGTTAAAAAATACATCCAGCACCCTAACATTTAATGTTTCAATACTACGTTAAATAAACGTCTACAAAAATGCTTCTTTCTGCTCACCATAGTGGGATATAAACTTTGACAACTTCGACAATACGTGTGTATGGAAACGTATATACTTGACAGCAGTGCCGACAACTTTTGTTTAGTGATAAAACAGAACTTCAATTGAGTAATGGCATTCCATTCTGTTAATTATCGTATTTATTACATTTTAACTGGCCTACGTGAGACAATCAACGAAATACACGAAAACGCGCTCGAAATAAAAACGTTTAGGACTACTACAAGACGATGCTGACGAACCAGACAACAAAAAAACATTGTTTTTTAGAGTGCTTAAAAATAGCTATCTGCCATACTACAGCAAAGAGCGGGACTTTTGATTCGGCAAACAAAACGTACCAAGTGATCAATAAATCTCGGAATGAATTAACGTCGGTTGAAAAGTTAAGTTCGGCACAAGTTCGAATTGGAATGGCCAATTAGACGGCCGTTGTTTCTATTGCCTGTGTCACACACGTGTTGAATTATTTGTGTTATTGGTAAATTTTGATTTTTGTTAGTACGAGCTACAGCTGAAGTACTCACTTAAAACGAGAAATCAAATGTTTCGCACAGTCATATTTATTTATCGCAATTTCCTTCGGTGGTACTCTCACTTCAGTGGAGACAGTAGCTCTCAAGCGACGCAATACGCTTATTTGATTTACTATTCGAGTTATTTCCGTTGGCAAATTGGATATGCGCGGTGTTTTATTAGAGTTTCTAGCAGAAGTCTATTGTGGAAGTGAAGCGAGAATGTAATAGATCAACTAACGCTAACAAAATGGCTAAAGTGTATTTTGCAAAAGGTTGTATTCAAATCGAAAACATATTACCAAGCTAGCCCCGGACTAGTTCGATCACCTGAACAGTAGCCTTTTCCGCTTTCAAATAGTACATCGTACAAAAATCCTATCTAACAACGTCTGATTAAAAAAGAAGCGTCTGGCAAAAGTATTAGGATTCCTTACAGGTTGATATGACATTAGGTAAATTTTGTAATGGTGAGTAGGTCAACCTTACTACAGCGTTTAAATAGCCGCCAGAATTTGTGTTGATTTTGTGCCCGCAATTGGAACGGTACGAGAAAGTACGAATCTGATTTATCTATTTACGAAAATTTAGACAAGAACAATTACGCTACCACTTGGCGCCGCCACTCATGCCTAAGTATCTTAGATATTTGTATTTTGGCGGGCAAAAACTGAAAGTTCGGCCAATTGGAACACTTTGCTCCCGCAAACGTTAGAGTTTTTTCTTCACACTGTTAAGGCTGTTTTGTCATCTCGTCGGGGATTTGTTCGATTTTACAGGTCTGAAAATATTCGGAATACAAATTGACTTTTTTGAAGTTTCGTCTTTTTCTGAATGAGAACAAGACGTACACATTGTCAGTTGTAGTACGCTCGGGCCTCTGCTGAAAGGTTATCAGCTACAGATAGCAAACACCGTTGATCGACAGACACAGTTTTCCTTACGGAATTGAAATAGCTTTGGAAGTTTGGAGTTAGAATGGTCATGTAACTATGTACGGCTGTTTTGTTCACGATTTGGACACATCCAGGAAGTCCACGTATTATACGCGCCAACCCTTTACGATCTAACTTATGTTTCAGCTGACTGTTGGTATTCACAGAAGTTGATGCTGTAACACCATTTAGTAAATGCTGGTACGGGCACACGAAGTAAAAAAAAGTATACAGAGATTTAATCGTGAAGGCACATAATAATCGATTACGTTGTTTTTTATTTATTATTATTATTATTATATGGTTATTATTTGAAAGATGACGCAGCAATAACCAAAGCGTACGCATACTCATCATTCTAGCGGATTAAAGCGGTACCAAAGTTTATGAATGAGGAAAGAAAAAAAGCTTATTTTAAGAAAACCATTATGTTCCCACTATCGTCTATAATTGAACATATCATAACAAGTAGGTTACTAGTCACGGCCAATTCTAAAGGACTTATAGTTTTAAGCGGTTATTTTCTATAACGTTTTGTCAATCGGAAGATCTTTCTACAACTTATGAGTCCTCAACGGCTGACCAATTTCTTCATTTGTAGATTTGGAGAATCATTTGTGGTGAAGTTTTGCTGCTTCGAAAAATATGACTCATTTTAAATGAAAAAATGTGTTCAGAATCTTTCAATCGAATTAACATATCTTGTAAGAAACCATTCTGATTCTTAAGAGGATTTTAGCTGATCTAGATAAAAATCCTTTTTCGTCTTCAGTCGATACTTGCAAATGATGAATTCGATACTGTTTCTGGGCAATACTGTATCCAAAGGCTTTGTATATAGTTGCACGATATGCTCGTTTTCTCAGCTTCAAATGCTACCATGGTACTAATTATCAGATTAAATTGCTCTAATGGCTAGTCAAGCGTACCTCCAGACAGCTGCCGGGAGAATATCTACATTGTCATTTCCTTCGAACTACACTGATTTACTATGCTGAGAATCTTTCCTTCGTGGGTACAAGCAATCCTAAAGAAAAATCCTCAGTATGGGCATCAAACTGGCTACTGCTCAACCCATTTACAAAAATGAACTTTTCATAGCTATATTCGGTAATAGCGTAGAAAAAAATTTGTAACAGATATGAGTTCGCGTCGATGGAACCTGGGCTCTTGTTGTCGCTTGAAGATAGTTCAGTTATATAACAGTATTTATAAGGCCTTTTTAAGGCACACAGCTGTCAGTCCATTTGACTATTCCTAGCATGCGAACTTTCTAGTACTAGGTTTAGCATTAACATTTGAGTAATTCAGGCATTCATATTTTGAATAATCAATAAATTTGAAATAACCAGAGAAAAATCATACGGCTCTTCGTTATTACGACAGCACACAGTAACTCTATATGATGCAAAAGCAGCAACGGCAGAAGGCTGAGGGCGCAGTAGACCCACAGCATGGTAACGTTTTCATTTATTGATTGGTTTTTTTTTAAAACTAATACAGGAATCGAAGCAACTGCTTCTTCTGTGTGAGCGAAGCACAGTTTTACGATGTAGTAAATGCTTGATTTACTCTGGTTAAACAGAAAGGTCTCCGCTTGGCCGAACAGAAAGCGCCCGTGAAGGTCTCATATTAGGGCGACGCGGGTCAAATCTACCACAAAATAACTGTTAAATACTTACCGCATATTTTAAACAATCTCGTTATACAACTACCAAACATTTAATCGTGTCATTACCGGTTTTTTTTATAAATAGAAGAGATTTATTAACCAAAAATTAGACCAATAGCGCATGTAAATTAATCTATATTTTTGTTAAATCGGGTTGCTGAGGTTAGTCTTGATATCGCTATCAAGCAAAATGAAACGATACACTTGTGAACACAAGCTTACGAACTTCAATTGGAGCACATAGTCCAAACTGGGATTATGCTCGACATTTTGACAAACTTTGAAAAAATATCTGTTTTAATTACTGGTTTATCAAAAGCTACGTAAGCAGCGCGTAGGGCACTTTTTCACTTTAATGATTACAGCTCTGACAGGTAAAAAAAAAAGCGCGTCATTGATAATGATTTCGTATGAGTTGTCTGTATGTGAGAGTACTGAATAGAGAAATAGGCTTTCGATTTATAACCACGTTATTACATACCGCACCACACCATAACTTATACTACCCATTACCACAAGGTTTTATCTGCCACTTGACCAGAATCACAACTACAATGTAGCCCTGAATCCGCTAGTAGCCTCATTACTCACAGTGGTCGTTAGCAGCTTAGATGACCTTGTAAGTTTATTGTCAATGGACAAAACTGAGTCACACGCAGGTCGGTAGCCATCTCTACTCCAGCTCGATCGTGAAGTAACGGCAATAGAGCTGAATACCTTTAGCTTGATCTAAATGCATATGTTACATGCTAACGAGGTCCACACACACGCACATGAGAAATACAGTTAGCGTAGCCCAGCATTCTCTTGTCTTAAGAAGCTCTGAATAGCATAACTGTCGACAGAGCAGTTCGATAATGGTTCTCTGGCTAACACATCAATAGCCCACTTTCATTTTTCGATAAAAGACCAGAAAACAAAACAGTAAGATTGACGAAAATAAATAGAGACAGTGAGTGAGGTTAACGCCAGTGGCAGATTTGCCTATGTTGAACTGCAGTATCTCACTACACTTACTAGACTTCTTCCACTGGAACTTCTAGCTCTATTAACTTTATTAAGTATAAGAGCTTCATTTGAAAAAAAAGCATTTGGGTAGCTCCGC